CACTTTTTATTGCCTGGACTTATTCACCACGCCATTAAATTTTTAAAAGAAAAGAGATTCTTTTCGGATCTCTTTTATTAAGATCATCAGATCAAGTGATTTGAGTATTTAAAATTTTATCTAATGATAAAAAATTATTATAACTTTTAAGAAATTAAAACAGATAAATCGTTAGATGAAAATTTAAAAATTTTGATTACTTAATTCGCTAATTTTAATGAAAGAAATTCGAAGAAGAACCCTTTCCTTTCTAAAAAAGAGGCTTCCACGTCAGATACCTCCAATCAAATGTCCTTTTCCTAGTCCACCGCAATATACGCATCGCCGTTCATCTGGACAGCAGATCAACGGCCCAGTTTTGCATGACGTGTTCCTTCTGACTATTTGGCCACACCAACCCCCACTTGGTCTCACATGCGCCACTCTGGTGCGGGCACTCCCATTGCAAGAGTAATTTTTGAGAAGTGCTGTATGAATCAACTCTTATTATAGTACGTATATTCATCTACTAATATTATATACGGAAATATCAATCTACGATTAATTGTTTGGAGCGAAAGTATTAACTTAACATACAAAGTTAAGGTAGCCTTTTGGGAGAGATTTAACTTTGTAGTCGAACACATTAAAAAAAAACTTTGTAGTCGAACTAAACAAAATCTGCTAGCACTAACTCATTTAATAAATTGGCTTCCAACAAAAAAAAAACACTTATTTAATAATTATATTGTTTTTTATTTTATTTTTGTGATTTTTTTAACAAACGATATTATATATATTAAAATGAGAGGTGGGCTTAGCCTCACAATGGGCTAACAATAATGTGGCTCAAATTCACGTTTGACAATAATCGAACCTAAGACCTCTCACTTACAAGTGAAGACAAATATCATTAGACTATAGTACTAGTGGTCTCTGAGATTGGCATAACTCTTTACTTTGATCGCTGTGATTTTAAATTAATAAAAGTGGTATCTGAGATTGTCCACCGTTAATCATTTTGGTCCTTTTGTGAAAATCTCAGTTAAATTGAAGTAACCACCAATTCACAGAAGAATCATAATGATAGACGGCGAACAATCTTAAGAGCTAATTCTACAAACTTTAAATCTCAGGAACCAAAATGAGAAATATAACATCTCAAAGACAAAAATGCACATAATGAAATTAAACACTAGCAACAAAATTACTTTTGAGTTACTTTTACTTTCGATATTTTATTTTCATTTAATTTCTGTTATTTCTTATCTTCTATCCCATTTTCTTTTTTATTCTTGCGTTCAATTTTTTAGCATTTAGATTGTATAAATTTAAAAAAGATTAGTCGACAGAATCGATGTTAGAACCGTAAACGTACGTAGTATCATATGCAATTGACAAACAATTAACCTAAAAATAATTGATAATTAGGCATGCCCTAGTTTTGGTCCACTACATCAATTGGTTTTTCCCATTTTTAACGCCTTTTGTGACTGATTTGCTACCAAGATTGACGAGGTGCACCCATTACCCAATGTGTGTAGCAAAATGAGAAGGTAGGGATGGGGAATGAGGGTTCTCTTTGGATTTTCTTTGTGAAGATTATAGGGATTCTTAAATTATGTTTGTTCGTCATATATCATACGGTCAGTTTTTGTCAAGTATTATTTATATTTAATTTTAAATAAAAGTATTTAAAATGATTTCTTTTTTTTTTTTCAATGAAGAAGAAATTTATTAAAGTTTAAAACCTCTAATACAACCGTTTCCAATACAATCAAAATTAAAGACATCCGTAGCCAAAATCGGAAGACAATAATCCCAAAAATGAGAGTTGGCAACAATGAGGCCCGTATAAGCTAATGCATCTGTCACGAAATTTGCCTCCCAATAAATATCTTCCAACTGATATGTTGAAACCCAGAAGCTAACCATTTGATATCTTCTATGACAGGTTTAAGATGCCAAGGGGGCATCCAAACAATGCCTTGCACCACCTTGATGACAAGCTTAGAATCTCCTTCAATCATCAACTTCTTCACACATTTGCATTTGGCGAACAAAAGCTTAGAATCTCCTTCCTTTAAAGCAACAGCCTCTGCAACCGAACTGGTGGCGCCATCAAGATTCAATGCCCCAGCACCAACAGGTTGCCCCTCTTCATTTCTAAGAACAAAAGCAGTTGCATAACAATTCGAACTAACAGACCCATCAAAGTTTAATTTTCATGATGAGGAGGACGCTAGCAAATGGGGTGTTGGTGGCAAGCATCACCCCTAGAGATCTTCTTACAATTAACATTAAAAAAGGATAAGCCTACACTTTGCGGCAATGGAGATACTCCGAGCGGGACTATGATTCATACTTCTAAAAACTTTATTATTTCTATCATTCCACATGTACCAACAATTTAGAAGAGCTATACTAAGATCACTCAAATCATTGCACTCAGTATTGTCAATTAATTCCATCAAATCTAACACATTATTTCTATCATTCCACATGTACCAACAATTTAGAAGAGCTATACTAAGATCACTCAAATCATTGCACTCAGTATTGTCAATTAATTCCATCAAATCTAACACATTATTAAATTGGGGAAAATTATTCTTCCAGGAACTTACCGAGGAAAGGTTCCATATTTCTTTAGCATGCTCGCAATTAAGAAAAATGTGATTTTGAGTCTCGTCCTCATTGTCACACATAGGACACAATTTGTTAATATTCTGAATGAATTTACTCAATTTCATCGTAGTATGAAGTCTTTCATGAACAAGAAGCCAAACAAAATGTTTTACCTTGGAAGGTATCATTAACTTCCATATCTTCTTAAGGAGTTTCTGTCTTTTAATTTCTGACCGTACCAGATGTACGAAACGAACACGATTTGAAGATTTCCAAGAATTTTCACAAAGAAGATCCAAATAGAATTCTCATTCAAAGATGGGTACACTAGAATGTAGCACCCACGTAGATGTAAGTGGTGACACGTTAGCCATTTCAAGATCTCTAGAAAGTATCGACAACATGATATTTGAAAAGGGATTCTCTTTGGATCTCTTCTTCTTAATCCGCCAAATTAGGAAATTCATACCATTAAAATTTGAATAGCTATAAAGAGGGGTCCATTTTAAAAATTATAATAACTTTAATCTTTGGATGAAATTTTAATAGTACAGATTTCTTAATTTGATAGAATTGAAGGAAGGGATCCGAAAAGAATCTCTTTTCATGATATTTGAGCTGGCTACGCAACCGGTGCTCGCCTGCACCCCCACATCCTTTCCGAGTCAATCTACGTGGAACACGTCAGCCGACGGGACCACAGACACCGACATGTGCGGGAACGGGTAGGGCCCAGGAGGAAGTACGTGTTGGTGCGTTGCCCATTTGTTTATTCTCTTTTTGTTCAAAGGAAGGAAAGGCCTCGTTGGCAGTTGCACAGTTCCATATTTTCTCCCTCTCTATCTCTTACGTGCCGTGTCGATCTCCTCGCCGTCGGATGGGATCAATGTAAACCGTCCATTGTATTTGCGTCAGGGTGGGACCCATGCGATATTTGACCGAATGTATGAGTTTCATTTTCTAATGTATCTGGGATGGCGACTGAGGCGAGGCATTGGGCGTGACGCGATGGTGAGGTAGAAGATGGAGATGTGGTGGAAGGCGGGCGGAGTGCGGTGGCGATTGGGTAAGATTCGAGTCAAAACGGCAGGATGCGTCAAACAAGGAGTGGACGCCGCGTGGCTTGCTTTGCATGTCAGAACAAACGTTTTTTACATCATCTACATTGCACAGGTATTGGAGACATCTCCCACAAAAAATATGATACATTTGTATTTTAGTCGTATTTGTTAATTTAACCTGCTGTGAAAAATGTTATTGCTAGTTGGTTATACCAAAGTTTTTATGCAACATTTGTGTGACTAGAAATGATATTCAAGCGCAATTAATTCTTACAATATTTCTGTCTAATAAGAACTCACTTCCTGTATTAGTTGTCATCATTAGCATTTTCCAAAGAAATCGCCAATAAGCCGAAAAGGATAACCATTAAAAGATCAATTTTGGTTTTTATAAAATAAAAATGTTAAAGAAAGCATATTTTCAGATAATATTTTACTGATTAACTATCAAAATATGATATAAAAACAGGATCTTCCTCACTCTTTTCATAAAATTATATCGGAGGATCAATGTTGTCCAATAAGAATAATCTCAAAGAACGTTATCCAATGAGAAGCAACCATGCAATCAAAATATGGAGAATTGTGCAATAATTTAACTAAAAGATAATGTTAAATAGACTAAATTTATACGTAAAACTTTATAAATTTCATGACATAAAAGTTGATGTTTAAATTATTATTTAAATGTTAATAAACGTGCTCATTTATATTGATAACTTAATATTTAACTTGTAAATTTTGTTTACAAATTTAATCTTTCTAACAATAACAGTAATTAAATTATGAAAAACTATCTATAGATTAATCAAAAGCTAATTTATGCAACAATGGCATCTGGCATATAGCTTGGATCTGCACGTCATGACTTTTGAAAATCATGTCCCGCAGGGCGCCAGGTAAAATATCTGCCAAATCACATTTTTAAAGAAAAATCAGATCCTTTTTACATAGAGAATCTTAATCTAAGCATCTCACTATCTTGTTAACGTGTGGCTTAAAGACCCCATTTAGTGGAACCTTCTTTTGATGATAATTTCTATTACTAAGTATTATGATCTAATAATATTCTTCTTCACTTGTAAGTAAGAAGGTTTAGTTCGATTATCGTCAAAGATCAAATTGGATCCAGAACCCGGAACACGTAGATCGAGTGGCCGCTAGACAGGTGTACGGACAAGCTAACGCCGGAATAAATAAAAAAGACCAGCCCAAATGTCGACGGGCCAGCTCAACAACCACTACACGACTTCGTATATACGGTGTACCGTATACGCCCTCCCTCCATACAACACGTGTTCCGTGACGTGGCCGTTGGCTTGGCGCTCTTCTTCTTCCTCCTCCTCCCCCTCCCTCTTGTTCTTCTCCTCCATCACTCCCTCTCTCTATTGTTTTCCTTTGCGATATAAAACAAGCTCTTTCTCTCCAAATTTTAGAGAGAAGGAAAATGCAAGGGTTGTGAAGCCTGGTCGCCATTGAAGACAGTTGAAGCTTTGAGAAATTTGAAGCAAATTCTGCAGTTTTTTTTGCTCTTTTTAGCTTTGATTTCGGACGTCGGGAGGGGAAGATTCGGAATTGAGAGTTCAAGGTACGTTGAATTTGGAGTTCCGGTTGATTTTTTTACGTTTGGATTGTGGCTAAGGCTCTGTTTGGTTGCTGAGAAAATGGATAAAGTAAGGGGAAAGGGCATAATTTCTTTGTTACTTGAACGGAATTACGGTGAGAAAATGCGTAGGTAGATGAAGGAATTCAAAGTATGCGTCTTTATATTTTTTTTCCGTCAGCTTGAGATTTTCTTAGCAACCAAACAGAGGATTAGAGTGGTATATTTTGATTGATCTGGAAGAAATCTTTTTTTTTTTTTTCTTTTTTCCTTTGAAGTAGGATAAATTAGCGATTAATATAGTTTTACTTAGTTGATGAACACTCACCAAAGAGCTAATGCTAATGCTATTGCTGCTACAAAATTTGGTAAATGAATGAAGTCTCAATTGTTGTTCTAGTGTGAAGTATTCAGCACCGTCTTCAATCGGTTTTCCAAATTTTCCGCAGATATCCGATTCCTCTGGTTTCGACCGGTTTGTTTTTGATTTGGAAGATATGAACTCCATTTCGTATGTGCATCAAGCAATCTCAAGTAACATGTTGTTTTCTTGTCGTTGCTTTAGCGTTAATTAAGTTTGTTTATGGAGGCGAATCGATTCATCGGTCTTAATTTATTTCTGAAAGAGCGTAAGAAAGGTTGGCTGATAGATGTACACTAACTTCTTCTATGCAAGGCATCGGTAAAATATAGTTTGTTGAAAAATGTGCAAGTAGCGGAAACTTATAAGCATATTTTCTGTAAGCTGCTTATCCAAAATTTTCAACATTTCTTATCTCAGATGAGAAAATCTTTACCAAAATTTGTCGTCTTTGAGTCATACATTTGCCTATTGATTTGCTAGTTTTTGTTTTCGCCTTTTCGGTCACTGTGGGTGTGCTAATTTATGCTCTGTGCGGTCTGGACAGATGAAAGGAGTGATGCTCTAATCAAGGAAGATCGCGATACTTCTTCACGTTATCATTGAATAAGCCATAGTCTTGATCCATGGGAAACGATGATGATGCAAAGTCTGCTAAATCCGAAAAATCATCCTCGCCTCTGCCGGGAGTAAGCACATATACATTGTTGTTTTTGTGATATGCTTAGTGGTTTACTATTGGGGCTTGTTTCTAAGTATTTCACGATCGTTTTATACTGATAGGATCAGACAAATCATACAAACCAGACCAATATGCAAGTCTGTCCTGATTGGGGAGCCATGCAGGTTACGCATTTGTTTTGCATTTTTGCCCGAACAACTTTCAGTGGAATTATATTGTACCGTTTCATGTGAACTGATTCGGGCCAAACCCTTGTACCTTCAGGCTTATTATGGTCCCAGAGTTGCTCTCCCTCCATATTACAACTCAGCTATGGCTTCTGGGCACCCTCCTCATCCCTATATGTGGGGACCACCACAGGTACTTTCTTTTTCTTCAAAGTGGTTCAAACATTCAATTTAAGTTAGCAATTGCCTATGCATGCTGGAATATACTGTATGAGAAGTTGTTGACTTGTTAATTCTTTCAGCATATGTTGCCACCCTATGGTGCACCTTACGCAGTATACTCGCATGGAAGTGGTTATGCACATCCGGCAGTTCCCCTTGTAAGTTTAAATTTTCATCATTTTCGTTGAAGATCCTACATTTCATCAGACTTTCTGTTTGCTTCGCAGTTTGGAGAGTGATTTATTGATTTTTAAAGTTCCCCAACTTTAGTGCTATACCTTTTGAAAGCGGAGGCTAGATTGTATTTGCCCCACATTCTTTACTATTATTGTGTAACCGTATTTGTACTAGTACTTGTTGGACATTCTAATTGCCACTGATCTCCCCATGCTTCCCCAATGGAAATGAATAAGCATTGCCATTTCCTTATGTAGAGTTAGATATAGCTCCCAGTCAATAATTCATAACTCCATCCACCCTATTTGGTTAAAAGTTGTTGCGCAATCCAGTGCCTTCCACGTCCTTCCCCCTTTTTTCCCGTGTGATATAACTGTAATATTTACAAGACTGGAAGTTTCTTATGCATTAACGAATTGTTTTTCCTGATATAGGCATCCCATGGTCAAGGTGTTCCATCCTCACCTGCTGTAAGTGAAGTTTCACCTCCTGATTTTCATATGTCCACAGACAGAGTGTTTCATCTTTATCTTTGAATGTAACTCTATTGTGGTGCAATAATGCAGGCCGCCACTCCTTTGAATATGGAAACACCTACAAAGTCATCTGGTAATACTGAACGAGGGTTAATGAAAAAGCTGAAAGAATTTGATGGGCTTGCAATGTCAATAGGCAGTGGTAATGTTACGAATGCTGAAGGTGGAGCTGAACAGAGTCTCTCCCAGAGGTTTGTAAACCAGTTTATCTTATTTCTTCCTTTTGTTGGTCCACCTTAAAGATATGCCCCTCCTAGCGCACCACTCTGGTCCACTCTCTGGTGGACTGGAATTCTCCTTTTGCTCACGTGTATCTGGAAAATTAGTTCACTAGGCTCTGCGTTTTTCGTGTGAATATATTGTTTATGGGCTAATTTTATGAGTTTGTTACCATGTTAACAGTTCTAGAACTGAAGGTTCTAGCGATGGAAGTGATGGGAATACTGCTGCGGTGAGGACTTCTTCATTTGCTTGTAGCATGTTTCTGCTATACCGTCCTTTTTTTTTCACTTGATTTGAATATTCTATGTATATTTATTGATGATTAATAGCGAAGTTAAATTGCACTATCTGCCTGTTCTATGTCCAGGCAAATCAAACCGGAAGAAAAAGAAGTCGTGAGGGAACACCAGCCACTGGTATTACTCTGTTCTTCACCAAGTGTTACATCTTGATGAACAACAAAGTTGGCCTGCAATCAATATCTTTTTTTAGTAAATATCTCTTATTTCATAAAAGCTTAAAATCTTAAGATGTGAGTCAATTGTTGTTTTACATCCAAACACACTCCCTCACATGCGAACATCTCTCCACCACTTAACTCAGACTTTGATAGGTAATATTTTTAGAGGTTTAAAATCAGGATCCTCCGCTTTGATGCAGTGATAGATTCACTGGTGTTTTACAGTACACAAAATCTTAAGTTGTTTGTTTTAACCTGCTTTGGACACGTATTTTTGCTCAATATTTGTTCCAGCAGCTGGAAATAGGAAGACTGACATGCGGCCTGGTCCAGTTTCTGCTAAGGAGGCAAATGCAGCTACTGATAAAGTGTTGGGTGTAACTATTGCTGCTGCTAATATCCCGGGAAAAGTGGTAGGACCAGCTGTTTTTCCTGGTGTGACCACGGTGTTGGAACTCAATAACCCACCTATCTTGAACTCAAAGACGAGTCCTACCTGTGTTCCACAATCCTGTGCAGTTTTGCCTACTGAAACCTGGATAGATGTATGGTTTGCGCATGTCACTTTGTAGTTGTTAGATATGCTTTAGTTTCTCATACTTCATCCAAGTTTTGCACCACCCAATGTAACTTATGGTAGATTGATTATGATTCGCAGAATGATCGGGAGATTAAACGGGAAAGGAGGAAACAATCAAATCGGGAATCTGCTAGAAGATCCAGGTTGAGGAAGCAGGTATGGAAATTGTGAAAGAGCCATGTAAAAATATTCTATTTGTAGAATGTGTTCATAATAATGAAGATATGATGCTAATGCTTATTCCGTCCAGGCTGAGACTGAAGAACTTGCACAACAGGTTGACGCCTTATCTGCAAAGAATGTGGCACTTAAATCTGAAATAAACCGATTAACAGAGAATTCTGCTACACTCAAGCTAGAAAAGACTACATTATTGGTACGTCCACATGCTATTTCAGAATCATTTCTTTCCTCGGAGATTGATGAAAATTTATGCGGCCGTTGTTCTTCCGCTAACTTACATTCTTTTCTCAACATACTAGGATAAACTGAAAAATGCACGCGCAGGAAGAATGGAAGATATCATCATGAACATCGACGATAAGAGGGTCCAGCCTTTCAGCACCGAGAACCTACTGTCAAGAGTTAATAACGCAGGTTCCGTTGCTAGGGATGCTGAGAAAGACGGTGACAATGACATGTATGAGAAAAACAAGGGGGCAAAGCTGCACCAACTCCTGGACACGAGTCCAAGGGCAGATGCAGTCGCCGCTGGCTGATCAATAGACCGGTAATTTGTGCAGTTTATTTAGTTATGTAGTTTTGGCATATTACAAGCCCAAAATTACTGCTAAAAATTAGCCGGAGAACGCAACAGCTAAGCCGCTTGGAATTGCGGTGAAAGCTGAGGCTCTAATTTTTACGGTGTGGTTAGTTATCTCATGGAAGAAGTAATGGCTTATTTTTTTCTGATTTAATCTTGAGTTAAAAGACTAGAATTCAGATGTGCTGGAATGGCCACTGAAGGGTGATGTACATTGAAGAGTGGAGAGATTTAGAACAGAACAACCAGCCTTAATTATATGCGTGTGTGTGTGTGTGATGTAAACTTAACAGTTAAATGTGATGACTCTGCAATGTCAATGTATGCTTTTACTCGACACATTTTTAAATACTCGTCTCCATCTCTTTCATCACGCGATATTATGGAATATTGAATAGATATGAACATAGCACGTGTCTAACTAGTTGCAGACAAGAAAACAAGTTTGTCATGCTCATTTTTAGCGACCAACGTGAGATTTAACTAATTTGGAAATTCCAAACATGAAAGTCTCGTTTTAACGTAAAAATACCTTTCTTGGGTGTTGAATAACATGAAAACTTTAGTATTGACTTAATAATTGCGTAGCAACCATGGGTCTGTTGTCCTCATTTTTGTGTTTCCATTGTGTCTTCTTGTTAATTTTTCAATACTTGTCCTAGTACTTAATCCACAGTAAACTCTGTGAACTTTTTTTATTTGGTAATTAAAAATTAAAGAACAAAACTAAAAAATACAATGAAATACGGGAGCGTATTCTTAATCAAAATCAATCTCCTTCTCGATTCTCATCTCTTAAACCCTATCTGAGTGAGGAAGATTATTATAGCGAGTGAAGGATCAGACTTCTTGCAATTCCTAAAATTGAAATCGGAGAACCCGTGATGGTTACGGTTAGGGCCGCCATTATTTGATGCGACTCTAAGTTATTGGGCTTCTATTAGATCAATTGGGTCAGCTATTGTTGTTGTTATCTATTAGGCTCATTACATATGTAATACCATTAAGCTTGTTTACATCTCAAACCCTAGCTATTTTTTGGTGTATTTAAACCCCTTTTATGACGTAAAGAGACTAGGAATGAAGATAGGAATTTACTTTGATTTCTTTTCCATTTTCTGCATTTACTTTCTTGCAATTTTCCTTTTATCATGTCTGATCCTATTATTATTTCCGGCAAAGCGCTTGCAGAGGTCATCATCAGACTACATTGCAAGGTTCATATAAGTTTCAGATTTGTATATGGGAAATTTTATTTGAACCCACATTTCTTATCTTTACACCCAACTAAATAAATTTATCTACCAAACTTCCAAATTTGTCCTTGAATAAATAAAAATGAAAAACTAATTTTATAACCCTAAAACAAAAACAACAATAATCTCTCTACACCATTTTTATTTAATCCAGTGAACTCAACCCTTTTTATAGAGAGAGAAAAAAAAAAGTGTAAGGGGATGGTGGGTGTCGACGATTTTGGAGAAGGGTTGCTGGCGTTAGGGTTAGATTCATCGGATTAGATAAAATGGGTTTAGAGAGAGAAATTTTTTATGTTTGTGTTTGGGTTTATAAAATTGTTTCTTCTTCCTTATTTATTTAAGGGTGAATATGGAAGTTTGGTAGACAATTTTTTTCTAGTTGGGTGTAAAAATAAGATGGTTGGGTTCAAATAAAATTTCTTTTTGTACAATTAATTTGGAGCAGATTGAACTGTCTACTTTACTAGGTGGGATTGAGTAGGAAAATGGAGGGTTAGGTAAATTATCGAAAGGGCAATTGGCTGAAGCTCACGCCTTCTCTGTCAATTAAGAGGTATTGTTGGTTTACCCCCTTAAACTTGTATAGAATTTTCAAACTTTAATTTTAACCGATTACTCTCTGAACTTGTAAAATTAGCCAATTTCTCTTTAAACTTTACTTTTAACCGATTACCTCCTAAACTTTTATAAATATCTAATTCTCCCGTTGGCGTTAAATTTTCAAAACTTTCATTCAATTTCTCATCCACTAAATTTTTCCCTATTTTTGCCCTCATACAGTGGTCAGGTGTTGTTCTCGTGATCAAGGTGGATGAAAATTTGACTATTTATAAAAGTTCAGGAGGGTAATTAGCTAAAATTAAAGTTCAAGGGAGAAATTGGTTAATTATAAAAGTTCAAGGGGATAATCAGCTAAAATTAAAGTTCATATGAGAAATTAAGTTGTATTCAAGTTCGGGGCAAATCGACAAATATGCCATCAATTAATGCCATAATTCCTGAATATGAGAATTTTTTTTTTAACACACGATATCTACACTAAATGTCACATCCCAGCTCGGACCCCCATCACATCCCGGGCCTGACTCCACCATAGCACGATATTGTTTGCTTTGGGCCCAGACCACGCCCTCACAATTTTGTTTCTGAGAACTCAGACGAGAACTTCCTAGTGGGTCACCCATCGTGGGAATGCTCTTGCCCGAACTCACTTAACTTCGGAGTTCCGATGGAACCTGAAGCCAGTGAGTTCCCAAAAGGCCTCGTGCTAGGTAAAGATAGGAATATACATATAAGGTTTACATGATCCACTCCCCTAGGCGATGTGGGATGTTACAATCCACCTCCCTTAGGGGCCCAACATCCTCGTCGGCACACTGGCCCAGGGATTGGCTCTGATACCAAATTGTCACATTCCAGCCCAAGCCCCCACCACATCTCGGCCCCGACTCCACCGAAGCATGATATTGTCCGCTTTGGGCCTCGACCACGCCCTCATGGTTTTGTTTCTGGGAACTCACACGAGAACTTCCTAGTAGGTCACCCATCATGGGAATGCTCTCACCCGAACTCACTTAACTTCAGAGTTCCGATGGAACCCAAAGTCAGTGAGTTCCCAAAAAGTTTCGTGCTAGGTAGATATGAGAATATACATATAAGGCTTACATGATCCACTCCCCTATGCGATGAGGGATGTTACACTAAAGGGGTGGTGGGAATGGCTAAGCCTCACAATGAGCTAGCAATAATATGGTTCAAATCTGTATTTGGCGAGAATCAAACCTAAGACCTTTCACTTAACACCACTTACCAGTTAAGAGGAATACCACTAGACCACTTACCAGTTAAGATGAATACCATTATACCGTAGTATTAAGTGGCATGAAGATGAGTGTTTTTATATCACCTTTTTGCGTGTTTATTTTTGCTTTTTAAACATTATTGGATACTTGGAAGACCTGAAGATATTAGAAAACAAAAAATTTATTTGAACCCTATAACATTTCTCTACACCAATTTATTGTCCACACTTGTATTACTTTTAATTAAACTATCAATATCTTTTTAAACTCAAAATTTCTACCTAAATTACTCTCATAAAACCAATTTAATATATATAAATTTATCTTTACACCCTTTTAATAAAAACCCAGAATCAATGTTTTGCAACTCATTCAAAACGTAAAGAGAGTAGCATCTCTCACATATTTGTCTCGTGCTTTATCCTTCTTTTGCTAATTTTGCTTAATCTCATATGTCTTAATTAATCTTTCATCACCTAATTTTGCTAAATCCCATATGGATGATTAATAAAATTTAAAAATTTAAATCTCATATATGTTTGTGCTATAATTAATATGATTTTGAAAAGTCGTTAATTTTGTTCCTAAACCTTAAAAAAATTGAACACAAACGAAAAATACTTGCATAAATTGCTTCATACCTTAGTTGAAGGATTCAAAACTTCAAAATCATTATCGGTAAAAAAGAGCTTGCTTATTTTTACTAAAGCGTCTTTGGGTTTTAGTTAGGATGAACATAAAATAAAGATTGCGTAATGGTAGGATTTGATTATTGGGTTTGGGATTTTTTATAAGTTTTAGTTTTCTTGTATATTTCATCTTGTACTTGATAGTAGTATGCAATCGGGGTAAAAAAGACAATTTACATTTAAAATTTAAGTTGAATGTAGAGAAAAGCTATATGGGTTCAAATAAAATATCCCTTAAAAATATTTCCATACTATTGAGATTTGGGAAATTTTATTTGAATCCATATCTCACTTTACACCAACTTAGAATTTAAATGTGAATTGTCTTTTTTACCTTATTGTATAACTACCATAAAGTATAAGATGAAATTAACACTTAAACTAAAATTTATCAATATACCCACACCTAATAATCAAACCCTAACCATTACATAATCTTTCTTCGATCTATTCTAGCTAAAACCTAAGACGCTCTCATAGAGAAAAGCAAGCTCTTTTTAACGGATGGATGGTGATTTTGAAATTTTGCATCCTCCAATTAATGTATGGTTCGATTTATGCAAGTTTTTTAAATGTGATTTTAGTAATTTGTTTAGGGTTTAGTAGTACGTATTGCCTGCAAAAAAGGAACCCAAGTTTGTGTGCTAAACAAAAGAAAGAAAAAAGGGATTTATGCCCTAGCTTTTGCCGTGAGAAAGTGGGGGAGTTAAACGAATAAGGGTCTTTGATTGGTGGGGTTATGCTAAAATTACGCTTGCATCCATGCGATTTTCCATGGGGTGCATGCTTCATTCCAACGTGTTTTTTTTGTGTAAAGAAAAAATGGTTCTTGATTGGTGGGTTTAATTCTCACCAGTTCTTATTAATTTCGATTATGATTTCTATTGAATTATGAAGAATTGAAGGGAAAGACAACAAACTTGTCGGAAGGAGAAAACGTCAATGGAGAGAGAACATATGCTTTGATTTTGGGTTTTTATTCTTTAAAAGGGTGAACTGCCAATTTAGTCCTTAAACTATCACTGCAGTGAAAATTAGGTTTCTGAATTATTTTTTGGATAAAATCAGTCCCTTAATTCATTACAAGCTGCTTTATGTTCAACGCTTTTTATTCAATTTTTTTTCCATTTAAAGTCATAACACATTATAGAGGGTAATACTGTCATTTCATCGCCTATAAGCGCTTCAAGTTGCATATAGATTGTGGACATAGTGTCTAATGTACTATCCAAAGTTAACTTCATACACTATTTCTTAGAAAAAAAAAAAAAAAGTCCTTAAACTTGTGAAAACTACCAACCCACCTTACAAAGTGTATTACATGCAAGTCACGTGAGTTTAATTGACGAAAAATTTAATAAAATAGCTTCAAATCTAATATTAGGAATGTAATTGGCAAATTTTTGTAGTTTAGGACTGATTTTTCTAAAAAAGTAATTTAGGGACTTAATTTTCTCAGATGATAATTCATGAACTCTTTGTCATCTTACAATTTAATTTTAAAGTGAGACTCTTTGTCATCTTACAGTTTAATATCAATTCATGTGATAACAATATAAAACATTGTGCCAAAAAACATGAGGTAACAAAGAGTTAATGATAAATTCCAATTTTAAGAATTAAAATCTGTAGTTCACTCAGATGATAATTCAAGAATTAAAACTAGAGAGCAAATTTGATGTAGAATGAAGTTATATAAATTCAAATAAAATTTCTCTTGATATTTTCATTATTATAAAAAAAAATAGTAGTACATCCATAGAGAACAAATTGGGGCAGAGATTTGCTCAATACTCACTTTTTTAACAAACATATAGGGAGAAAAAAGTGAGGATGGGCTTTGAGAAAGCTGAAGACAAAAATTGTACAAGATTAATGGTGTTGTTACTGCATATATTAGGAGAGTAGAGATTACGATTCAGATTGCTGACTTTTGCTAGAGTTTGAGATAGGGGCATCAAGAAGAAGGTTGACATATGCTCGCATATTTAATTGTATATTTGAGTTCTTTTTTAATTGTTAAATGCAAAAAAAAAAAAAAAAAAAAAAAAAAAAGGGTTAACAAAGTTCTCTCAATTAAGTCATGAGACAATGTGTCAAAATATTAGCAAAGAGATACAATGGAAACACATAAATGAAGACGGCTGACCTATGACCATACACACTAGTGTTGTGGTTACATTAGAAATTTATTCCTTATAAAGCACGTCTCAAGTATATAGCGAGGTTACAATCATACTGAAAATTTCTCCTTTATAAAGCACATGTCTAATGTTTCATTTACATGTGATGATTTGGATGATTCATAATGCATAAAGGGAGTGGGAATTCAGTCAATTGAAATGTCAAAGAACTATCTTAAAATTGGAACTTATAATAAACTCTTTGTTACTTTATGTTTTTTGGCACAATGTTTTATATTCTTATCATAAACTTTTTGTTACCTCATGTTTTTTGGCACAATGTTTTATATTGTTATTACATGAATTGATATTAAACTGTGAGATGACACAGAGTCTCACTTTGAAAGAGTTTCTTTACCATTTTTCTTCAGTCAAAAAACGAAAAAAGAGAAGCGGACAAAGATGAAAGGTTAAATAAACGTAGACCTGAACAAAAGGACAAAATAGAAGATAACCAAAGCAACGACAATGTGGAATGAGAAAACATAATACCTTAGACGTAACTAAAACGAGTTTCTTCCTGTTATTTCAGCCAAATGTATATCGATATTGAATTGAAAGCATCCTATTTTTGAATACTATGTGAAACTTTCACACATGCAACTCCTAGTTCTAGAGTCCTTTTTTAACCTCCCTTTTTGCTTAATATGAAGAATTGTCCCCAATATTCTTATTAGGGTAGAATTGTCACTACACCTTTAGCATAGAATACATATAGTCCTCTTAATGAAGCTACTATAAGTATGGGTGATACTTAAACACAGAATTTCTCCCGACAAAGTAAAATCTCAGGAATATTAATCACAAGTCCTATTGCAACCACAAAATAAAAACAATTTGACAATATAATACAGTAATACTCCGACTTGATTAATATAATGACCAACCATACAATTACTACCGTCTCATAAAAATCATTCATCTTGCTCACTAGTACCACCTCAATATATCCAAATTAATGTCAAAATCCTTGGCCAAAAGCAAACTCAACACCCCACAATAAACATAGGAGGACACAAACTGTGACATCTCACATCGTCCAGCGGAGTGATCCTTAAATGTATATTCCCATCCCTACCTAGCACGAGGCCTTTTGGGAGCTCACTGGCTTCGGGTTCCGTAAGAACACCGAAGTTAAGCGAGTAGCGCGCGAGAGCATTCCCAGAATGGGTGACCCATCAGGAAGTTCTTGTGTGAGTTCTTAGAAACAAAATCGTAAGGGTGTGCTGGGGGCCCAAAGCGGACAATATCGTGCTACGGTGGTGGAACGAGCCCGAGAAGTGATCCGCCTTGGGCCGGGATGTGACAATTTGGTATCAAAGCCTAACCCTGGCCATTGTGTGCCGACGAGGACGTCGAGTCCCTAAGGGGGGTGGATTGTGACATCCCACATCGCGCCAGATGAGTGATCCTTAAATGTATATTCTCATCCCTACCTAGCACGAGACCTTTTGGGAGCTAACTGGCTTCGGGTTCCGTAGGAACTCCGAAGTTAAGCGAGTAGCGTGCGAGAGCATTCCCAGGATGGGTGACCTATCGGGAAGTTCTCGTGTGAGTTCTTAGAAACAAAACCGTGAGGGTGTGCTGGGGGCCCAAAACGGACAATATCGTGCTACGGTAATGGAGCGATCCGGGAAGTGATCCGCCCCGGGCCGGGATGTGACACAAACGCTGTCATTTTCAGTTCATATTCAAAGTTGGCACTCACTAGATCAAAAAAGAGCTGCTGAGGTTGGTGAGGTCCAAATAAATGGCTTCTCAAACATTTAAAACTGCATGGTCTCCATCTCAAACTTGGACCCTCAAACTTCCCTTCTATTTACTTTATAAACATTGACCGCTCGTACGGTGTTGATGTACTCCTCGTATCTCCACGTCCCTACTCCTTCCTACCAGGTATCTGCAAAAAACCACTGCTTTTTTTTTCCCATTATCTTCAAACATATTTCCTTTTTTCTTTTTTATTCACTTCCTTCTCATTCTCCCATGATGTTGCCCCCCTACACTTTTGTTTTGGTGTTTGTATTTTAATTTATTTCTTTTCGGTTCCTTAGCTTCTGTTATTAATACCAAATTCGAAACACTGAATGCTTCCTAGGAAAAAGGGTTGCCTTTGCACTTAGACATTTACTCAGTTTTGGTGTTTGTTCAAGGTATTGTCTGTGCATTGTTTAATTTGCAAGTTAAGAGAGGCTTCTGCCTGAAAGTTTAATTAAAAACTTAAGACTTTTAAGGTTGCTTCGAGTAATTAAGGACTGAATTCTTTTTTGTTTTCAATTTTCCTTTGTTGGGTTTTTTGGAAAAGGCATGTTACAGTTGAGAATTTGGTTTTATTCTTTTTACGAGTGTGTTTAATTCAAAGTTCCACAAAAGTGAGGCTGCACAAATTTGGATTTTTTTAGCCTTTTTCTTTTACATTCTATTGATTGTATGAATTTTAGGTGGGTGTTGGAGGTTTGCTGTGCAGCTGCCGAGTTTCACTTCTTGGGTTTTCTGGATTTGGGGTTTTGGTGCTTTAATGACACTTTAAGAGGCATCAGCATCTTGGGGTTGTAAAAGTTGAGATTTTGTAGATCTGAGGAGTAATGGTAGTTGCGTTTCTCTTTTAATGTAAAAGATTACTGCTTTTTCACAAGTTTAGGTGTTTGGTTAAGTTTAGATCTTTGATTGTGTCACTGGGACTTGTTGAGTTGGGGGACGTAGAATTCTGCTTGTTTTTAACAAAATGGGGCATTCAGCAGCAGAATGGGAACATAGGGCAGCCATTGAGATTGCAAAAGATAGGAATGGGGTAGAACAGGTGGTGCTTCAGAACCAACAAGGGGCTTCAGCACGGGTGAGATTCGAGAATCTCTTCTTTTCGCCGTTGATTAAGTTTCCGAAGGCTATGAATTTAGAGTTTGTCCTCAAATTGTTAGTTCATATACCATGTTGATTTCTGTATTAGTAGGGTTCTTAATGATTTCTCTTCTGATAATATAGGTTAGCTTACATGGAGGACATGTCACTTCGTGGAGGAATAAGCACGGCGAAGAACTCCTGTTCACTAGTAGCAAGGTATAACTTTCCACTTCCTATTGTATATATTTTCCATCCATTTGTTTATTTTCTACAATTTTGTGGCTGTTATAGTTGAGAGCATTTGATTTCGTCTTTTATCGTGGCACGGATGCTGTTCTATGTTTTATAAACGTTGTTTGTCTAATTATTCAGACAAGTAATCACAAGATATGTATGGAACCAGCTTTCAAGGTTATATCATTTTCCAGGTCAAACTGAAGTTTTCAATTCATATGACTTGGTTGAATGGTGAAGAACTAATATTCTCCGTACAATGGAGACTCTATGTAGAAGTAAAACTGGGTTGACTGAGTACTCTGCTTTAGGATAGTCTAATTTGTGCTAGTTCATAGTTTATGAACGAGTTTGAATCAGATTTCCGGTTGGATCAGAACTTCAACTGCATTTTATGTTTTATGCAATGTTATGTCCTCATACATAACACGGGAGACTTTGCAGCCGATATTTGGCCTAATGCAGTCACCGTTACACGAGTAGTTTAATGCATATCTTACCTACTTGAGATATGGATAATAGATTCTTTTTAACATGCGTTCCATCAATCATAGACAGTCTCCAAGCCCCCAAAAGCGATGCGAGGAGGAATTGTCATTTGTTTCCCACAGGTATTATCAATTATTCCTGTATAAACTATCCTTTTAAAATGATATAAAAACTGTAAACTCCAACTAATGCTTTTACTTAATCCTTTTTGAAGTTTGGGAACTGTGGATTGCTAGAACAACATGGTTTTGCGAGGAACAAGGTGTGGGCAATTGATGATAATCCTGAAATGCATCAATCAAACGATTCCAATGGAAAATCCTTCATTGATCTACTACTTAAACCATCTGAAAATGACCTGAAGTGTTGGCCCCATAGGTATGAGCTTGGATGCAGTATTCTTAGATAAAACTACAATAAGTTCTCTCATTAGGTAAAGGGGACAATCACCTCGTTTCCTGTCGATTGAAGTTTGTATGGTCTATTTTTTCACAAAAAGCAAATCCTAGATAATTTTTTTCTCGTTTCTTTGTTTCCTATGCAGTTTTGAGTTTCGACTTAGGGTGTCTCTTGCAACAAATGGAGATCTGAACCTGACATCACGAGTTAGAAATGTGAACGGCAAGCCATTTAGTTTCTCCTTTGCCTACCACACTTATTTTTCGGTTTCTGATATAAGGTATGTAGCTATTATTGTTGAATTCACAATCATCTGCCTTCTGGCTGTTGCATATTTGCTTCCATTATTGGTGTGCGATATGATTTTTTAATGTGAAAATGACTTCTGTCCATAGTGAGGTGAGGATAGAGGGGCTGGAGACACTTGACTACTTAGACAACCTTCGCGAAAGAAAATGCTTTACAGAACAAGGAGACGCCATAACATTTGAGTCTGAGGCATGTTTCTTATGCATATGAAATTGCTTTTACATATAATGCAGGAAGTTGAAGTCCGTGAATATGGTGAAGTCTTTGCACACAGTCTGTGAAAAGTTTATCCCATACGTTCACTTCGTCCATTGTCTCACTCATTTTGTTTCTAAAATTTTGAGTCAAATTTGAAGGTAATTTGGAAACAATTGGAGTTGGCATTTGGCAACAAGTCATTAATTGATTTCTGCATACGGTGATATTAATTGTAAGCGGTATGGAAGAATAAGTAGTAGTCAACCTCCCAGAACAGTATTATATTCATAATGTTTCTTCCAAACTCATTCAGTCTCGACTTTCTAATTTGTTGGAAATAAATATTAGATAATTTTTGCTTCTCTTGCTAGCAGTGTTGATGCAGTATGAGTTTTTGGCTTATAGAAACAAAAACTTTCCCCTTGCAGGTCAGTCGACTTTATCTAAGTTCGCCCAATGTAGTTGCAGTCCTTGATCATGAGAAAAAGCGAACATATGTAATAAGAAAAGAAGGACTACCAGATGTTGGTAAGCAGGCACATATTTGATATTTTCACTCTTTTACACTTACGGAAAGTGAAATTCTTAGTGTTGTTATGTCAACCAGTACGATTGAAAAAAAATGGACAGTTGAAAAACTAAGCATATCACATTCACATGTTGAACACAAAGATGACTTCATGCGTGATCTTTCCGTTGCCCTCCAAGATATATGTTGTTGATACTGAATTTGGCTTTCTGTTTGCATTTTCATTTCCCCTCGCACAGTTGTTTGGAACCCGTGGGAGAAAAAGTCGAAATCTATGGTTGATTTTGGTGACGAGGAGTACAAACAAATGCTTTGTGTGGATGGGGCAGCAATAGAGAAACCAACCACCTTGAAGCCAGGCGAGGAGTGGACAGGGCGACTGCAGCTCTCAGTGGTGCCTTCGAGCTTCTGTAGCGAGCACCTTGATCTTTAGAAGGGAGGTTTTGGAAGACCAGTACAGATTATATATAGGGTAAAGTGCTTTGAGTTTACGTAGTGCTAGGCCGCTAGCGGATACTGCAGAAGGGGTCAGTCCCGTTGTAGTTTGTTAAACTTGAATTCTTCGAACTAGGATCAGAAAATGAAACACCGAGACCCGGCTTTCTATTAATTTTTTGTGAAAGAGTAGGAGGTGGTTTTCATTGTGCTATTAGCCCAAATAATAACGTGTTATGTTATGCTACAGATGATGATCTCAGTGCAAAATTCGACAAATGATGCTCAAAAAATGCCCAAAATTTGACAAATAATAACGTGTTATGTTATGTTATGCTACAGATGATCTCAGTGCAAAATTTGACAAATAATGCCCAAAAAATGTTTAAAGGGAAGGTATAGCTTGGACAATTTCAATCAAGAAGATGTGAAATTAGACCAAATTAAAAAAAAAAAAAAAAAAAAAAAAATTGTGAACTCGAAACGGAAGCCACTCAATATCAGAGCCAGGTTTCGATCCTGGGACCTGTGGGTTATGGGCCCACCACGCTTCCGCTGCGCCACTCTGATGGTTGAAATATGGGCACCTAAATAAAATATTTACATGAAATCGGGAAGATCTTTGAGAGGAATGCTAGTGTTGTTGGGGATTTAGTCACGTGTGAGTCAAGTAACAAATGAAACACTCACAAATCTATTTTTTTAAGTTCTTTCCATCTCATGTTGGTCCCTAAACTTTTGATTGCGTGATTAACAAATGTAGAAAGAAACTTTTGTTACAAAAGTTGAGAGTTGAGATGGAAAGAACTTTAAAACGGTAATTTTTTTAAAGCATTTAATTGTTACCTGACTCACACGTGACTAAATGAGATGAAAAACATTTAATTGTTCCACATTCTCTTATCTCATGTTGGCCACGTGTGGTCACACGTGACTAAATGAGATGGAAAGCATTTAATTCTCATCTCATGAGAGAATGAGGTAACAAATGTGGAACAATTAAACTTTTGATTGCGTGATTAACAAATGTGGAAAGAAACTTTTGTTACAAAAGTTGAGAGTTGAGAGAATGGCACACGGTAATTTTTTTAAAGCATTTAATTGTTCCACGTACTTTTGATCAAAACGTCATCTGCCTACTACTACGTAAATTCTTGTGCCTATATTTTTAGCTAGCCTACTACCCATTGAAAAATTTATGATTCCGTTCTTGCTCGATTCTAATGTATATGCCAACAAAAAAAAAACTCATCGAATAAAATAGCACCCACCACTAATCCTATTAAATTTTTAATCCATGACACTAACAAATTCTTAAGTGCTCATGGATCAACTTGGGACGAAAAAATTGAAGAACAAAGTGAAAGCAAAAATGTTAGTTTTATTGCACATTTGTACCATTTCCTTAATACACATGAGACCTAGATGTGTTTATGGATTATGTTTCTATTAGAAAGATGGTACAAATATGTGGTAAGTATAACATTACTCCCGTTAAAGTTGAGGATCATATTTGAAATAAATTATTTTACAAATAAAACAATAAAAATAGGATAGAATAAAGAAAAGCTTGTCCAAAAATCCTAACCGCCAATATCAGCATCCAAACCTTACTGCTTTTTTATCTCCTTGTCATAAATTGTTGATCCGATTTCCTGAGATTCAATCCTTCCCCTTCCCTTCTCCCTCCATTCTTCACCTTCATCCTCCAAATTTCACTACCCATTTCGTCTTTTTCCCAGAAATTCAAATCCGCTATTCAAAAACTCATCACACTTCAAAATCCCAAAAATTCAAATTCCTTTGTTTTCAAAATGTGCTGCCACCTTCTTCCTGCTCCGTACGATTAATTTCAGTACCCACAAATCAATCCAATTCCTTGAATTCAATCCACATTTTTTTTTTTTTAAATTCGTTCAGCTTTCAATTAAATCGCATTTGGGTCTCTGTTTTCTTCTGCAAAATTTCCCAATATAATGGCGCAACAACTGCCAATAAGACCGGTGGTGCACAAACCGCCGGGATACCGAGACCCATATCAACCGGGCCGACCCGTACCCGGACCACCACCCCGGAAACCCAATCTCCCCCCTTCCTTCCGCCCAAAGCGCAGCCGGGGGAGGAGATGCTGCTGCATATGCTGCTGCGTCTTCTGCACCTTCCTCCTCATCGTCATCATCGTCGTCGCCCTCGCCGGCGGTATCTTCTACCTCTACTTCGACCCCCGCCTCCCGGCCTTCTACCTCCTCTCCTTCCAGATCCCCAAATTCGACCCCGTCTCCAAGACCGACGGGATCCACCTGGACGTCCAGGCTGTTACCAGCGTAGAGGTGAGGAACCCCAACCCGAAACTCGACATCTTCTACGGCGAGGGGATCGAGATGCACGCGATCCTTGGGGACGAGAACGATGTCGGGATGGGGCTGGGGTCGAAGCAGCTTAGAAGGTTCACGCAGAGGCACCGGAACACGACGAATTTCAAGATGGATATGAGGGTGAGGAATAAAGTGGTGGATCAGACGGTGGGCAGGAGGCTGGCGGCGCAGCTGAAGAGTAAGGAGATAAAAGTGGCGGTGGAGGGAAAGACGAGGGTTGGGTACGTGATCAAAGGTTGGAGGATTGGAACGGTGAAGATCAATGTACAATGTGGCGGCGTGAAGTTGAAGGTGGTTGATGCAGGGGAGATGCCCAAGTGCACCATCAATGCATTCAAATGGTACGGAATTTTAATTATTTCTTTTGAATTTTGCATGTGTGTTCGTGTTTTAGATTTTTTTTTTTTAATATGGCATATACACCAGTCACATCATCTGGTATAGAAATATGTTCATGTTACTAGGTTCCAATTGTAAAATGTTCTTTGTCATGTTATTGAGTTCCAATTGTCTTTGAATTTTAATGACAAGAGATCACAGCGATATTATACATTACTTTACATTAAATGAAGAAGCATGATTTGAATTCGAAATGTAGTGAATTGAAGAGAAAAGTCTTAACCACCGTGAAAATTCACCGCTTAGAGATGTTTGGGAAGTTCAAATAGCATTCTCAAAAAGTAAAGGTCCATAATTGTTAGCAATCACATTGAAATATATACTTGGCATTTTCGGAGGGGATGTAAAAAATTCTATGTGGAATATTTTGACAAAAATAAGTGGTTTTTTGGTTCCTAAGGAGATGTTAAGATCTTACATGAATTGACATTCTCCACTTTGATGCCAAATTTGAAAGCAACGTAAAATTATTTTCTTTTTGTTTTATTTTAATTATGGTCCCACTTATTTCTTTATTTTCTTTACATATTAATTATCTTAATATTAAATTCTAACCTACTTAATTTTATAAATAACCAAAAATATTTTAATTTGACATTTCGGTTGGAATATGGAACTTTACGCAATGTTATTATGCCTACCATTTACATGCTGAATAAATATAATCAGTTTCAAAAGAAGAGTGCATGATGATTTTTTTGTTGCGGCACAAGTGGCCTTTGATAATTGATACTCTTGTATGGAATATTAAGTGTAGTAATGATGTCGATCTGTGTGCGTGCACTTTTGCAGGATCAACATTCGTTGATGTCACGATCCTCACGTAACATGTTCAACTGATGACAACACAAGGGAGAGTTTGACTCGGTCAGCTCATCGATCACATACCTGGATCCTGCAACTTTCAAGCAGACTTCTTATGCAAAAATCATATATTCTTTGGTGCTTCAAAAATAGGAAAAAGAATAGGAGGGGGCAATATCTATATGGTCATCTAAATTCCAAAACACAGGCTAACATGATTTCGATCCTTCTGATGCAATTGGAGTTTGATCAACTTAGAAGGAGCAAGGGTTGAAATTTTAATTAATTTATTTATTTAATTCCGGTGACTGGTTTGGAGACTTGATTAAATTAATTATTTTTCAGTTTCATATATATATATATATGAAATATTTTTACCTAAAAATATTCATTTAGTGTTAAAAATGTTACAATTAATATATTTATATTTATGATTAATTTTTTATCATATATTTTTATTTTTAGTTTGTACCCATTTTTAATTTGCAAACCTTTTTTTTATTTGTACCAATTTTCTTTTAAGTTTTAATTTGTACCCATATGTTAATGTATTTATTTATTTTTTTTTCTTATAATAAAGGTTGTTTGGCTCCTGGCATTTTGTCATATGTATTTATTTGTAAACTAAAAAGAATGTAATCATATAATTAAGGTGTGACATCTTTTTATTAGTTCGGTAAAAGTTGGAGACAACTTATGGACGACTACAAAAGAGTGGCTGCCTCATAAAGGAAAGGAAGCAAAGGCCAGAAGACAGTTTGTGTCGTGGGGAATTGACTTCATTTCCGCAGACTGGGATTCACAAATTTTGATCACCTAAAGTAGTGAGCGTGACCCATCCAACCTAAGACAGTTTGTACTTGGGGATTTGGAGCTTCGGGTCTTATGTACCGAAGTAGCCGTGCTGAAAGCCTTGCCTTAACGTGGTAATGGTTCTCTAATGCGGAACAGGATCCTCTCCGAATCCTTTATATGCAAACCCTGAGGATCAATGGATCCTAATTTTTCACCACAAATTGAACGGTTAAAATTCTGCACATCTCTCATTTTCTTCCTCCTCTCTTTTTCTCTACCTTCACAGACCTCTGCACCTCCTAACAACCCACACTGCCTACTCCAATCCCTTTTCTTCTCCTCTCAATCCCTCTCCAACGACACCCACATGCGACAAGATGGCGCCACATGAGTGAGGAGTGAGGACGACGATCTTGCTTTGGAGTTGGAGAAGAAGAAGGGAGAGAAAGGGGGGAGAGAGTAATGTAGGTGTTAAACAATTTTGGGAACGGATTGGTGAGAGAACGAGAGAAGAGAAAGAAGGCAGTGAACAAGAGGTTGGGCGGGACCATAACCAAGGGTGGAGCCATGAAGGGACTAGAATGGTTTACCTTGACATCTTTTTCACACATAAACAATGAGAGTTCTCCCTTTAATTGCTAAAGATTTTTCAAGGTATTAGAGCCCTAACAAAAATCTTTTCCATATTCCTTTAATGGGTTCGATTTGAGGTTGGTGGCTACTAATGCGATTAACCAGCGTCACAGTCAATTTTGAGAGACTAAGGTGATCAAAAAGGGAGAGAGAGGAAGTAGGCAAGATAGCTGGTTTTCATTTTTATTTTTTATTTAATTCCTTGAAGTCTTTTAATACTGTTACTTTTGCTTTGTTTTTCCTTCCTTTTTTTTTTATTTTTATTTTTTTATCTATTCCCCTCCTCATTCCTTTCCTCTTCCACTAAAGGGACTGTTATTTTGAATTTGAGTCATGATAATACGGGGTTGAGCTGAGGAAGAGGATGACAAGAACAACGTCATACTAAACCCAAATGATGGTGGTTTGTAGTTAGGACACGGCATATCCTTATTTTTCTTAAATCAGAAGAGCGTTTTAGGCGAAATTTTTGGCCCCTCCTGAGTCAAATTCTAGCTCCGTCACTGACCATAACATTCGATCTTTCTACCATACTATCGTATCTCATAGAATAAGATTGATTCTAGTCCGCAGATTCCATTTAAGACGCAAAGTAAATTGCTTTAACCAAAATAGTTACGTCCAAGTATGTTCCATAATCGTTGACGAATGATGAGTTTGCCATCATTTCTCCACTCTATTTAAATGCATTACTCTCTACTTTCTGTTTTTGGGCTACAAAAATGCTCAAGGTCTCTGCTTGACCCGATACCATACCAAGAATCAAAGCATGGTCAAGTGATCAAGTACTATTCCGGCTTTTGAAGGTTCAGCGGTACCCAGAGCCACTCATTAAAAGTTGATATCTTCTTTGAATCTCATTGTATGAAATCGAACGATTAAAAAATTAGAACCTTTTAAATTAAATTATGCAGTTCTCATTAACTTATTTCACTCACTCACCTCACACAAAACAAAAACTCGAATCTCGGTCTCTTAAACGGTCTAGATACCTCGATTTTTGGCCTCCATACAGTGAAATTTGAAAAGGATTTCAATACACTAATTAAATGCGTCGCTCTCTACTTTCCGTTTTTAATCCCTCAATAGGATTTTAAAAAACCATCCAAAACCCAATCTCGGCCGTCCAAAATACGCAATCAAAACAAAGTCATCAAAATCAACGGCTTAAAATTAATCTCAGTCTGATAGAATCAGATTCACATAAAAGCAAGAATCTCTTTTGAATCTCTCTCCTCTCTCTCAGGCCCATAGTAACAAAAAGTCATTGTTATTATAATTATTCCGTCCTTTTTTCATCATATCATCATTATTATTATTGTACACTTCGTCAAGCACACTCTTCTCTTTCTTTCTCCTCTTTGTCAAAGCAGCGCCCCTTCCTTAGATCCGTTACGATCTACGAGGTCCATCCATGGCTTCCAAACGGATCTTGAAGGAGCTTAAAGATCTCCAGAAAGACCCCCCGACCTCTTGCAGCGCAGGTACAATACCCCCCCTTCTTCGACCCCTGTTCTTATTTACCTTTTTTTGTTTAGTTTTGCCGTTTTCTTTCATTTTTCATCGTCCTCAGCCTGTTTCGAAGCTCGATCTACGAATTTTAATCGTTTTGGGTGTATGGGTTTTTTGTAAAATGGTAGATTCTGACATGGGTTGTTCTTATTTTGTTGCGTGCTTGTTCGCTTGTTTGGTTTTGTGTTTGATGTAGCTCAAGTTAATTTTTGTAGAAAGAATTTTAGGTTTTGTGGAAATTATGTGATAGATTGCTAATTCGTGGACTAGCTACAGTGTTTTTGTTATTGAGGCATTGAAATATTGGATCTTTGAGGCATGTTTTTTTAATTTGTTTTGATTCAAATGCAATTTTCTGCTAACGTTTTGTGAATGAAATATTGGATCTCTTTTTTCATCACGGGGTTGGGAGACATTTTGGATTTATAAATTTTTGTGATAGAACGATGTTGAATTCTTGTGAATGTTCAGTGTTGTGTTGTGCTTACAGAAATTTGAGTTGAGCTCTATGGAGGGAATTTGCATCCGGTAGCAAATATGTCATGGTTTATGATCATTGATTTTATACCAAGTTGTTGCCTAATCGAAACAGAATCAAAGATAAACACGTTTAAAAAAAAAAGTTTATTTTCTTCTAAACTTTACTAAACTGTGGAAGTAATAAGTAAATTTTGTCCTCAAAATTTGTACTTCCATCATTTTGATTTCTAGTTGCTCAAGAAGGCATGCATTGAACTTTGTGGTGATAAATTTATGTGTAGAATGCATTTTAAAAATGGTTACTTGTGTTCGATGTCAGGGCCTGTTGCTGAGGACATGTTCCATTGGCAAGCAACGATAATGGGTCCCCCAGATAGTCCTTATGCAGGGGGTGTCTTTCTAGTTACCATCCATTTCCCTCCCGATTATCCATTCAAACCACCTAAGGTATGACATCAATTTAATTTTCATTGTAGAAGTTGTTAGTTTACTTAATAGAAATTGTATTATGGTTAACTGCTGTTCTCTACCCCACCCGCTTTTTTGCAGTCCGTTTGGTTTTGGTTTGGGGTAGTATTCAGGAAATAGGCATTGTCGGGAGATCCAATAGATGGTGCGGTTTTATAGTCACAATGCTATAGATACTTTTCTGAAAATTTCTGATCTTTTCAAGATAATATTGGTGTTTTGTTATTATTCTCTTATTCATTAGTCTGTCCAATGTATAGAAAATGTAACCAACTTTATTAAATTACTGATATTAAGAACAATAAGAGGCTGAGTAAGTTTGGAAACCGTAGCTGGTGTATAGGTGAGTTTTTAAATGGATGACAACAAATGTACAGACATAGGCATGGTTACCTCTGAGAACAACCACTAGATCAAGTGGCGGTTTTCTACTGTAGTTTTTTGGGAGTTCTTTACTGTGCCTTAAACGGTTGGGTATGATTTAGTCATCCAACAATTTTTAATGTTTGTCTGTTTGATTCTGGCATGATACAAACCGGAGAGAAGTTGATGCTCTTTGATAGGGAGGAAAATTGTTGTTTGCTTTGGTTGTTGGTCATGATCAATTCTTTGTCCTGTTTAACTCTTACGCTCTTCGATTTTCTTCCACTTATATGATATGCGTTATTAAACTACTTAATAGTATGATTATGTGTTTAAACATTCTTGATGCTGTAAGTATATAGGGCCAGGCCTTAGGCGCTCAAGTCAAACATATTGGCTTGGGTCTTGGACTCAGTCAGGAGCCTTAGTCCTAGGTCTGAGCCATCAACCATTGTATCAGCAGGTTCAGTTCAGTGTATGATTTGGGGCTCAGCTGGTCATGGCCTGCGAATAAATGTTTGAACCTTGCTGGCACATCGGTTCTTGGATGAATTGACCCATTTTGACGAATTATCAATAGTATATTGTGTTGAATTGTCTCCAATGCTTTTCCTCAAAAGTTCTATAAACGTCTAGATGAATTTTAATTTGTTAATATTCTTTCACCAAATTGTTTTTGTAGGTTGCCTTTAGGACTAAGGTCTTTCATCCAAATATCAACAGCAATGGAAGTATCTGCCTTGACATTTTGAAAGAGCAGTGGAGCCCGGCTCTCACCATATCTAAGGTTCTGCTCTCTTAGTGACCACGTTGTGATTTAATAACTGAATCTGTTTTCAATTTCCCTATTCAATATAAACTAGAGATGGGATGGTGATTACAATGAATGAGTGCACTGTGGATGGCTGTCATTTGTTAATAAATGGTTGCTTTGCACCCTTTTCACTCTTTCATATCTGCCGGTTTTTAAGTGGGTGGGAAAGGTTCTTGTTTCCTATTTCAGGTGTTGCTATCCATCTGTTCCCTGTTGACGGACCCAAACCCAGATGATCCCTTGGTGCCAGAAATTGCTCATATGTACAAGACAGACAGGTCAAAGTACGAGACAACCGCAAGGAGCTGGACCCAGAAGTATGCTATGGGCTAGTGTGCTTTGTCGCGAGGGCATGTAGGAGACTGGTTTGTATTCCTTCTTGTTATGTATAAAAGAAGTGTGGTTCGTACTTTTGTGATAGACACTGAAGAATAGATCTACATGTACACCCCTCATAAGTCATGTTAATGTTTTAGGTGGTTTAATGGATATTTATCCTAGCAACTATATGTGAAAACCAAAGTTTTTCGTGACATTGCTCGTGATGATTTGATGAATGATGGTATGTTTACCCTAATGCCTGCACTACTGTACTAGTTTCGGGGCAGTTGTATATGGCATCACCGTGCGGCTAGCATAACGTGGTAATTGTGAAACAAGGCCGTATACAATTTGCCCCATCTTGGAAATTATTGAGGGTTTAGGATTATTCTGAGATCACAATCATCAGTGTTATAGTGTTTGACTAGCTGCAGTGATTTTTTGTTGTATTTTGACTAGCCACGTGGATATTAAAAATAAAAATTTAAACATAAAAAAATAATTAAAAATAATTGAGAAAAAAAGGGTGTCGTCTTCCTCAAACCACCGCCCCCCTCCTCTCCTCTGCACCCACCTAACCCTCATCTCCTCTTTGATTCCCCACACCGGTTCACAGGTAACGGACACTATCGTTGTCGATACAGTGTTGGAATTGTTCAATGAGGGGAATAGCTCATTGTGGAGGAGAGGATTCAGGAGGCCTAGTATGGACGGCGACGAGCTCATAAACCTCTTGCACCGCTTAGATCCGGTCAAGGTCAAGCTCAATGGGCTCGAGAATGAAGTCAGAGATGCAAATACGGCTCCATCTGCAACTTTTCTCCAAATTTGTGGTCGATTTTATCGAGATTTGCCGTCAAATCTGGTAGGTGGGGCACGCTCCTTCGAGCTCACGGGGTCGTCAAAGAGGATGAGGGTTGAGTGGGTGGAGTCGAAGAGGGAGGGGGAATGATGGGTGTGCAGATGTTGGGTAGGTGCAAAGGAGAGAAGGGAGGGGGTTTGAGTAAGAAGACACCCTTTTTATTTTTTATTTTTTTAATGTTTAACTTTTAAATTTTTTTTAATATCCATGTGTGACTCATATTGACATGTGATGCCTAGTCATTGTCTACGTGAGCGCCACATCACCAGTTAACGACTGATTTAACAACCTTGATGGATGTGTGAAAGTGTCCCAAAATTATGACTTCAGGTAGCACTCTTGACACACCCCGATCGAGATCAGGGCATGTTGGCCGTCACGTGGAAGTGACGCAGCCAAGTGCACAGTGCAGAAGCTAATAATATAATAATAAAATAATATGAATAATTAAAATTTGTCTTAACACAAGGTAGCAACATACATGTGTAAGCAAAGTGTGAAAACAAAGTTCAGAGCACGAAGACCTAATGCAGTCCGGGAGAAAACGACACGACAAAAGTACACCCGAAGGTGGTCCTCCACTGGTGACAGTCTGTTAGATATGCCGTAGAAATCCTCAGGGAAGCTACCAAACGTGCTAGCCAACTAGAACCTAGAGGGGCGCAAAACAAAAGCGTGAGTGGGCAAAAACAAAGCTTTTCAAAAACCATTTCAAAACAAGTTATAACCCCTCGTCGTAAAACCTGTATACTTCCCAGAAACATAATATACATATATATAAATATAATCGTGCTCGGAAAATGTGCCATGCCAGATGCCTCGTAATAAACGCAAGTGCCCAGGAAATATCGAAATCAAAGCTATGTAAACTGTCAGCCGGAGTCACCTAACGTGACCTGTACGGCTGAATCTAGAGCTCAAATCTCCATCTCACTAACTATACCTGCACACGAGTCGGAACCACCTAAAGTGGTCTGTACGACAGGCCTGGGTGTAATCTAAGTACGCTCAAGTGCTACGATCACGTGAAGGCTGGGCGAATAATCGCGGGTCACCTACGAGTCGGAACCACCTAAAGTGGTATGTATGACAGGACTGTGCACCTAACTTGAATCCAAGACGAGCGTATGGTGTGGGAGGTGAACATCACGTGAAGGACTGTGCCCTACTCTGGGCGAGAGCACTAACACCGGGGGTGCAGGTTATGAGCTCTCTATGTATCCAGAATCACTACTGAATGTAAATATAAAACATACCCACCTGGCACTTACCCGTACGTCCGCAGCGCCAACAAACTATATATATATATATATATATATATATATATATATGCTACTAATAATGCATAACCAACGATAAATACAATGCATGGCATAAAGACGTATAAATGTTTTAATTCATTTTCTGGGAAAAACATGAGTATATAGGTATATACGGAAAACCAAAAGCCCACTCATTGGTATGTAGAAGGGTCGTAACCCCTTGCCTCGAGTGACCACGCTCGTCCTCAGGATAGGTCTCACCTATATGCGAAATAACTACAAAACTTTAATTTTAAAGCACATAACCAACCTTAAGAAATAACTTCTCATACAATGCTCAAATGGGGTGTATGAATACACCAACGTGATCTACTCAACCTCAGGAACATCCCTATATTTTTAGAAAAAAATTTCACCGTCGCACGCGCCCCCACGCGCCGGCCAAGGCACGACCATACGCGCAGGCATGTGCCTGGCACGCTGACGGCGTCAGTTAACGCCATCAGGAATATTCCGTTAACTTTAACGGATTCCGTTAACGCCGTTAGGAATATTCCGTCAGAACTGACGAAATATTCCGTCGTCTTCTTCGGCGAGGCTCCGGCGTCGGAAAATTGGGATATTTTCAAATCGTGATATCTTCTTCGTTTTTCAACCAAATTTCACAAAATTGGTACCAAAATGAAGTTTACAACAAGAGGAACAAGTTCATACCACTTTCAAGTGCTAAAATCCACGAAATCTCGGCTGGAAAACTCCACCAATTACGGCCAACCTCGAAACTCACTATCTCGACGTCCAAAACCTTCAAACGAACCACCCTGAGCCTCCTAAGGACCTCACCAAGCTTCCTACAAGCTTGAAATTCCCAAAAACATAAGAATTTACGTGTGCATGAACAGTGACAAAATCGGGGTATCTCGAGTTCGACATGAAAACGAAGGTATCCTTACCTGAAGTGGATATGGTTGGACTCCTACGGACCTCACGAGCATGGATATGTACTTTGTTTCTTCGATCTGTGAAGATTTGATGGGTTTTGGAGTGTGTCCGTACAAATGGAGGGAAAATGGGAAGGGAAATGGCACGGGACAGGTAGCAGGGCAGGGAAAGGGTGAAGAAAATGTATGGGGAAGTGTGTGTGGTCCACAACCAGCCACACCAAGCTCAAAACAACCATACAACGTAAAATCACACTAGGGGCAAAATCGTCTTTTCACGCGCACGTTTTAAAAATTCCGGAACAGGCTGTCACAACTCTGGAATGAAAAAAACTTCATGTATTAAATGTTGAAAACTAAGAAACTTTAAGATAATAAATTGAGATTAATCCTTAGATTTATATATATTTTTGTGTAGTTTTTTTTTTTTTTTTTTTTTTTTTTCATGTGATACTTTTGTAGATTTCATAAATTTTTATTGACTATTTGAAACTTCATGAAATTCACACTTTTTCAATGCTAGGCTTCTATTGATCTTTCAGAGTTTAATGCTATACTTTTTCAATGCTAGGCTTCTATTGATCTTTCAGAGTTTAATGCTATACTTTTTCAATGTTAGACTTCGACAAAATTTGGTTTAGAATTTTGATTTCCTTAGAGAGTAAAATACCCAAGTTTTAAACAGTACCTTATAAAAATAATTGAAATAAAATCCAATAATTTTTGGAAAAAAAAAAAAGTCTCTCCCTAATTCTCCATCCCTCCTCTGTGCATAACCATCTGTTAATCCCAACGTCACTATCTCCCAAGGTCGCCAGCCTCACATCCATTTTTGAATCCTTTTGTTCTTAAAATCCCAGGAATCAATCAAATACCAAATCCATGACAACCCAAAAGAATTTATTCACGGCTGAGGGTCCAAAGTTTATAAAATTTAAGAGTCTGTTTAGTACTATACTTTAATTCAATTTTTTACAATTGAATAAATGAAGTTCTTGTGATAAAAAAGTCTACCGAAGCAGAGTCCTGATGGAACCGTTCTTGCACGGCATCTCCTTGAATATTCCTCTTGTCCTTTAATGGCCAAAACTTTATCTCCACCCAGTCTCGGCCCTTTTACTTCAACTAGGATTCTGGATTTGATCCCATTATAAAACTCATTCGTCTTTATCCAAATACGCAGACATTTTGATACTTAGAATGCTTCATATTTATCCAAGGCTTAATCTCTTGGTAATTTCAACTCGTGCAGGATTTGACCGAGCCTTCTAACCAATCAAGAGACCTTTCTTGATAAGGACTTTGTTGTGATAACCTTATTTGTGGGCTGGAAGCCCATTGGCCCGGACGATGTCCATTGGGCTGAGGTTTGCAATTCTTAGATCGGTCTTCATTGACTAAATTGTCATTTTAGGCCCAAACATTGCCCTCTCGCTTCTGGAACCTTCGATCATGAACTCTTGGTTGGAAGGTTTTTAAGAAGCGAATATATATATATATATATAATTTTTTTTTTTTTTGTTTTGCTGCCCACTAACTTGAATTAAATGCCTCGATCTCAATTTATACGCCACTTTTGTTTCGACTGTCAAACATTTTTCATTTTTCATTAAATGCCTATATCACCCCTCCATGCTTAGTCGCCCTTCCCTTTCGGACAACAGAGCCATCGGAAGGTCTCTTCCTGAGATACCCAACCCAATATCAGCTGTCAGCCTTCAAATCAGATTGAAATACTTGATGACATGGGATTTTTTTTTTTTGGCTTAAATATTAAGATGGTCTGTGTTTTACCCATCCGACCGATTTGGTCTCAATTACCGTTAAAAATTTACACACATGTTTCAAATTGATAAAAAGAGTAAAATTAAGAAGAAGAAAAAACTATAAAAGAAGTTAAAAATACTGAAAAAGAAAATGATAAAAATTCAACAACAATAAAATTGAAACCTGCCGGGCTCCTACTTTTACCCTAATCCTAGCCACCACCGTTTATCAAATCCATCCAAAGAAAACACTCCACCCACCATGAATTGCCCTTAAGCACCCATGCTATCTTTCTCTGGAAAAATTTCACATTTCCCACCTGCCATCGAATTTCGGGTCATTTCTCTAGCGATACCTCAACATTGCGTTGCTCTCCACCTTTCGCTCCCCTGTTCTAGCATTGACCACGTATGACCCCAATATGTGTCATCTCTGGATCCACCACCTTCGTAGCATCGGTTTGCACCACATTTCCTCCTTTGTGGATCTCCTTTCCCCACTGTATGTTTGTGGTTGGAGATGTTGCCTTGAGTTTTTAATCTGAACTTCTTTTTTTATGTTTATGTATCTTTTTTTTTTTTTTTTTAAAATTTTACATTGAGCTTTTCATGTTTCTTAAATAAATAGAGTGTTTAGTAATTTAAAATGAAATATTTAGCCGTAAATTAGAATTGACCAAATTGACTAACATTTATTTCTTTTTTTGGTTCATGGTTTGATATTTTGGTGTCCTAGGTGTAGAGGAACCACACCAAGCTCCAATTGCATCATAGGAATTTAAAAAATGGTTCTTTAAAGGGAGTTTTAATAAAAAGCCCACGGTATTGTTCACTTTAACGAAAAACCACATTTTTACACTAAAAAGTTAATCCTGATACTATTCACTTTAACCTTTATTTTGTCTTTGTCATTAAAACTCAAAGCTTTCAAACCATTTTCATTATTTTTCCTTTCTTTAAACCACAAGGACCGAAATAGCCAAATTAAAAACATTACCACTGGTCTCTCAACTAATCAAAATGTGTAGCTATGGTCTCTCAACTAAAAATTCATTACCATTGGTTCCTCAACTTTAATCCAACTGGAGAAATGATCTTTCAGCTTTAACCCAATTGGAGCAATAGTCCCTCAGCTTTAACCCAATTGGAGTAATGGTCTCTCAACTTTAACCCAATTATAGTAATGGTCATTCCAACATAACTCATTTTGACAAAATTCTGACGAAGTTGACAAAAATGACCATAGCTACATGTTTTGATAAGTTGAGGGACCCCAATTGTGGCAATGGTCATTCCAACATAATTCATTTTGACAAAATTTGGATGAAGTTGACGAAAATGACCATAACTACATATTTGATGAGTTGAGGGACCAATGTTAATGTATTTTTTAATTGAGGGACTATTGCTCCAATTTGATTAAAGTTGAGGGACCATTGCTACAATTTGATTTTCACTTAATTCAAGAAAAGACACTCTATTGTGACTTATTCAACAAGGATAATATTAGAGAGACCGAGTTTTTAAATCAAATGATGTGTTACCAATAAGAAACAAGCACGTTAATCGATACTTAATTAATAATCTATAATCACATCACTTAGTTTGTACAATTGGTTTAAAAAATTTGGTCTCCCTAACATTACCCGTTTAACAATACATTTATATAAAAGAAAACTAATGAAAATGGCTTGAAAATTTTGAGTTTTAATGATAAGGACAAAATAAAGGGTAAAGTGAATAGTACCATGATTGATTTTTTAGTGTAAAAATGTGGTTTTTCGTTAAAATGAACAGTACCGTGGATTTTTCGTTAAAACTCTCTTTATATAAAGAGTGGTGCTATCCACACACTTATTTTTACTTTTCATACATCTTAATTTACAATCGTGAAATTGAATGAATTGAATTTTTTTTTCAATGAAAGAAATTAATAAAAATACGTGAAAGGTAAAAATAAATGTATGAATAAAGCTGTACAATACAAGGAATGTAGAATAGCAGATGCTTGGTCCCCAAGAAAAGAAAACTATGGGTTGCTATATCCGGTTAACTAAATATAGCAACCTCAAAATACTTTCTAGGAGATATTAATTCAAATAATCTCAAATTCTCCCAAAGGAAAAAGAAACAACATAGGCTTCTCTCACATATTTTCCGTCATTTTATAGGTCAAATATTTATTTTTTTGCTATATTGGAAATGATTCATATGATTGATATACACATTTTTTAGTGTTTCAGTTACACCATCACGTATTACTTTATTTATATCAAGATATATGTATTTATCTATTAATACTATACTTTATGATCATTTGAATACCAACATATCATTCACTCATATCGTAATGTACATGAGCGGTTTGACGACTATATTCAAGAAAATACACCAAAATAAACAAAAAATACTCCAACTACGATATTCATTGATTTGAATTGAAATACGTACAAACAAACAATGAAAATAGAGTGCAAACAATAAGCCTCGGTAAAAACTTTGACGGAAACTTCTACTGGTTCGAGGAAAAGAGCAAATCTTATTAGGAAGGAATTCTATCAAAAAAAAAAAAAAGAAAAGAAAAAAGAGAAGCAAATCTTCAGTCTGAACTGGTAAGATAAAAACATTCTTAATACTTATCTAACAAGCATACTATAATAAAGGGAAAAACACGAAAATGTTGGAGATGAAATTTTTAATTTTGACGGGAAAACAAATGGTACATCATGTGTTTTTTGTATAAATAGTGAAATTTTTTATTTGTTAAGTTATTAACTTTTTAACACACATATCTCATCATTTATATAGCGACACATAATGTACCATCTTGTATAACGGTCACAAAAAAAAAAAATCTCTTCCCATGTATAACCGATCCTTGTAAGTTTGACTCCTCTGCTCCCTCCTCTCTCTCTGAACTCTCTCTCTCTCTCTCTCTCTCTAAAAACTCTCATATTTATTCCTGGCTGTTACTGTCTTTTAATGCTCCATCAGTTCAGTTTCATTTTCCTCCGCCGTTAACATTTGCCCTCCAAATTTCTCACCTTCTTCTTCCTCCCACCATTCATCTCAGTATTTTGTTGTTTAGCCTGTAAGCTACAACCATGGATGGGCCCAAGCAACGCACGCAGAGTCGTACGGTCACAAACAAACTCGTCAAGACGCTCACCACCCACTTCCGCGAATCCAATGCCGGCCGAGCCCCCAAAATCGTACGGATTTTCGTCACCGACGACAACGCCACAGACTCTTCCGGCGACGAAGAAGAACCCTCGCCAAGCCGGAAACACCGGGTTCTCGTGAAGCGCGTCATCAACGAGGTCAGAATCGAGGACTCTTCTTCGCAAACGATGCTCCTTCCTAAACCGAAGGCTCGGAGGTGCAGACCGGTGGAGGAGAGTAACGAGGTTTCGCCGAACGGGAAGAAATACCGAGGCGTACGGCGGAGGCCGTGGGGGAAATGGGCTGCGGAGATCCGAGACCCGCATCGTGGAGTCCGGGTCTGGCTCGGAACATTCGAGACGGCGGAGGAGGCCGGTATGGCTTACGATAGGGCTGCCATTGCGTTTAAAGGACCTCTGGCTTTGACCAATTTCCTCAAGCCTCCCGAAAATGCCATTCCGGATAACTCGGACGTGGACTGCAACCAAATCTCTCAGTCTCCGCACAACTCGGATTGCAATCACTGTGTGTGGTCGCCGACGTCTGTTCTCAGTGGCCGAGATGCTGAAATCGTCTGGAAACCGGTTGTTGGGGTTTCGGAGCGACAAAATTTCGGGGCTGTTGATACGGACTTTTGGTTGAAAGATTGCTTCGAACCGCCGATATGTTTCGACGAAATGAGAGTCGTACCCGAAACGTTGTTAAAAGATGAGGATTTCTCCGATTTATCGCTCGATTTCCGGTCGTGTAATTGGGATGACGTGGAGGATTACTTTCAAGGTGCTTATGAGTTAAAATGATCATCATCGAAAGTGGCCTTGTGGATTTTGAATAATGCTTCAAAAGATTTTGAGTGCAAAAAGTGGTTGAGAACTTGAGAGTTTGCGATATAGTAATTAGTTTATATAAATTAAACTAAATTATTAGTATTTATTATTATTACTACTAATTGATGACTTTGTAAATTCGTTTGTATAAGGTTAAGGTATTGGTATTGATTTTGATCCTAAATTTTTGGATGTTTTTTCATGAAGTGACATACTTTTATTATATTACTGTTAAAATCTACTATTTTCTATCTGTTCATACTTTGAATGTTGTTGCAATTCAAAATTCTAATCTTTCATACTTACCACTTGATCATTTGCGCAATTCAAATGAAGACGCTACATACTTACCGTTTGAGTGTTTGTGTAGTTCAAATGAAGATGTTTCCTACTTACCCTTTGAATGTTGATGCAATTCAAATTAAGACGCTTGAGTTCACATCTTTATCTCATCGAGGTTTGAGTTTCCAACTCATCTCATACTGAATTTTAACTGCTAAAGCAACTCAAGTTCAACACTTACGTTTCTGTATTTTGTTTTGGTCATCAAATCCCAACTTGACAATGTGATTTGAAGTTTTTGTGATTTGTTTTAAAACTAATAATAAAAATGTTTAGTGCAAGTGATTTAACAGTGATTGAAATGAAACATAGTTCCACGGCAGCATTAGGTCATTGACCCAAATGGGGTTCTCTGTCTCTGGAAGACAACAAACGGAAAGAGTGAACAGACTGTAAAAATCAATGGTGTGAACTGAGAAGTGTGATCGATGTTGTTGCTCCAAACCTAGAAAATCATTTAGTTATTTGATTTTAATAGTAAGCCTACAAGTCTAATACTAGAAACCTTGGAAATGGTGAAACAATAGGGGATGATCTGCCTTAGTACTGATACAGGATATCACGTGACAGTATACTCATACAGTATAAGTTTGTTCTCGATATATAAACATAACACTAGGGGATTTGCTCTTCCAGAAAGATCCCAGACAATGTCAGTTTGGTCTTTGGTGAAATCCCCGGCATGCTTCTTGAATCTCCGGCCAACCGAAGCTGTCCGTTATATCTTTTCGTGGTCAAAATTTGCACAAAAGCCACGGATTTGTTGGTAAATTTGAACATTTAAGACCTTTGTTGTGGAATACGATGTTTCAAGGTTCATGTGGGCATCGGACCCACACTTCCAACTCGTAAGTGCAATGCCCTCTTCCGTGACTAATGACTACTCTCTCAAATTTTGGTCAATAGATATTCTGACAAAACATGTATTTTGGGTCCCCCGTGTACTCTTTTTTGTCCAGAGCGTAATAGCCATTAGGTCGAGGTTTGATTACCTTTACCCAATATTGATTGGCATTTGGCAATCTCTTCACAAAAGATAAACTTATATGCAAGATCTTCTTCGGCGGTCAAACCATCACGAGCGTTACAGTCTACTCATAATATCATAAAATATAAAAGGAAATTTTATTTGGATTCAGTTATCTTATCTCTACATACAACTAACAAGTTTTATTTACCAAACTTCCAAGTTTACCCTTAAATAAATAAGAATAAGAAAAGAAAAGAAAATAAACGTTGGTGTTTTTTATCTCTACACCACATAACTCCAAAACTGGCACACTAGTACACTCCTTCATTATTTCTTGCAAAACCCACCCAAATAACAACAAAAATTCTCTCGAGTTCATCAACGAGTCAGCTTACTGGAAACCTTTATCAGCCCTCATTTATAATTTCAGCGTAGGTTTTCAGTTGATATGTTTACTTGTTTGAACCATTATCTGGGAGTTGGCTACTTGCATAAATTATTAAAACTAACAAGTTAGCTTGCTAGAAACCCTTGTTCCTATTTCTTCTAAATAGACACTGACATGGAAGCTTTTTTCTCATATTGTAGGAATTTGTTTCTTGTCCAACGAATTGGTAAGAAGTTTTCTTTGCTGAAATTATAAATGAGGGTCGCTAAGGGTTTCATGCAACAAGGGTTTTTAGCAAGCTTACTTGTTGATGAACTCAAAAGACTATTTTGTTGTCATTTGCGTGTGTTTCGCAGGAAATAATGGAGGAGTGCAGATGTATGCCATTTTTTTGAGTTATTGGGTGTAGAGATAAAAACACCAATGCTTATATACTTTATTTTCTTTATTTTCTTATTCTTATTTATTTAAGGGCAAACTTGAAAGGTTAGTAGAGAAATTTTTTTAATTTGGTGTAGAGATAGGATAGTTGGGTCCAAATAAAATTTCTCAAATATAAACTCAATTGTTGTAAACAGTGGGTATGTTTGCCCACATGTATACAGTAAAGATTCATATGCTAAATAGTGAAGTTTTTGTAAGTTTTCAAAGTAGTTACTCTATAAATAGAGCACTACAAGTGTTTAAAATAGATGATACAAAAGCAATAAGAAAAGAAAGATAAGTTAGAATATTTTCAGTATCTAAGTTAGAATATTTTCAGTATCTAAGTTAGAATATTTTCAGTATCCTCTTTTTTCTCTCTAATCTGCAATCATTTTGTGTAATATTTTGCAACAACCTCGCTCTTATCCCTAGCAAAGGTTATTTCTTTAACTTTTGCCTATTTATAACACGTTATCAGCACGACTCTCTAACCCTAAAACATTTTCTCATTTCTCTTCGCTGAAAGAAAAAAAAAAAGTTTCCTCTAAGGTTTTTACTGTTCCTCTTCTTCCTTTGCCTTAATTGCTGGATATACCCTCGCGAAGAACGGTTTGCACCATGTTTACTTCTAGTTCTCAACCTAACAGTTATTTATATTTTTGATTTCTTGTTTGGTGTAACTCTTGACTACTAACCCAATGTTTATTTATGCAATCCAAAATGGTGCGGTATCATCGCCTATCTTGGACTGCAGATTTAATTTTACTGCAAATTTTAGGTGGAGCGGTATAATCGCCCACCCTATCCTGCATATTTAAATTTGCCTTTTATTTAATTTTATTGCAATTTTAGGTGGTGTGGAATAATCACCCACCTTACTCTGCATATTTAATTTTATTGCAATTTTAGGTGGTGTGGAATAATCACCCTTTTTGCTCTGCATATTTAAATTTTATCACAATTTTAGGTGGTGCAGTATAATCGTCTACCTTGCTCTGCATATTTAATTTTCCTGCTGTTTAAAGTGGTGTGGAATAATCGCCCATCATATATTTGTTTAGATGAGAATGGTGCGGTACAATCACCTGTCTCATTAATCATGTAAATCTCGAGCCTGAAGTTTCGAGTACTTATCATTTTGGCCTGAAGATCAAAATTTGTAAGAACCAGAAGTTCTAACAATATATTCTTCCAAAATACATATTATTGCAAGTTCTTACACACCTCATTTTTCTTTCAGAAAAGAAAATGACGAACTTGGCAAAGCTTGATTTTGTTGCCCTGGATATTACTGGAAAAAACTACCTTACCTAGGTAATGGATGCCAAGATCCATCTGAAGGCAGGAAATCTTGCGGATACCATCAAGGAGGATACCAGTACAACCTCTCAAGATTGAGCGAAGGCCATGATCTTTATCCGTCGCCATCTTGATGAGGGACTGAAGAGTGAGTACCTCACAGTTGAAAATCCATTAACCTTCTGGAAGGCACTGAAAAATATATATAATAACCAGAAAACGGTGATTCTTCCAAGGGTTCATTATGAGTGGGCTCACCTAAGGATCCATGATTTCAAGACGATGGTTGAATACAATTCTGCAATGTTCAAAATTAGTTCCCAGTTGAAGCTCTGTGGAGAAACAATAACTGAGGAAGATATGTTGGAAAATACTTTCATCACATTTCATGCCTCCAACGTGCTCTTGCAGTAACAATATAGAGAAAGAGGCTTTACTGAGTACAACCAGCTGATACCTGTACTCCATGTAGCTGAGCAAAACAATGAGCTTTTGATGAAGAATCATCAGTCCTGGCTTACCGGATATGCACCATTCCCAGAAGTGAATGCTGCTTCCCTTGAAAAGAATACCACATCTTCTCGTGGCAATAATTACAAACGAGGACATGGCCACAAGCGGGGCCGGTGGAATGGGAAAGGCAAGAACCATGGCGTCCAGTTGAACAACCAGGTTCCAAGGCATAATACAGGCCCGAGCTTTAAGAATGCAAATCGTCAGAAAGGCAAAGCTCATATGAACACTCCTAGACATCCTGAAGGAGTTTGCCATAGGTGTGGTGGCAATGGGCACTGGGCGTGTACTTGTCGTACCCCAAAACATCTGGTGGATCTGTATCAAGCCTTCCTTAAGAAGAAGGGTGTTGAGACCAATTTTCTCGACCAGGCTAAACCAATGAAAATACCTAATCCAGTGTCCAATTTATCAGGATAGTTGAACACAACACACCTGGATGTTTTAGACTTTATTATTGAAAGAGGAAATGAAGTTTATGGGTCTGATTAAATCATTTATGTTTAATGCACTCTTGTTATTTGTACTTGTGGTTTAATGCTCACATTTTCAATTCAATAAAAGTAGTATTCCAATATGAATAAACTGCTTTTTAACTGTAATTTCTTTACTCAGAGAACATGGATAAAAATTATGGTTATTCTCAAAACAAGAGCAATGGAGGAGATTTTTGTCCTGCAGATTGCACAACCACGCATTCCATACTTCGAAATCGAAAGTATTTCTCGAACTTGGTACTTGCAAAAGTAAAGGTAACAATAATATCAGGGCAATCAGATGTAATTGAAGGCTCAGGAAAAGCCCATATTATGTTACCAAATGGAACAATATCGTTTATACAGAATGCGTTGTACATTACTCAATTTACTCGAAATTTGTTGAGTTTTAAAGACATACGTCTAAATGGATACCACATTGAAACGAAAAGTGCAGAAAATGTGGAATATTTGTGCATTATCTCTAATGATACCCAGAAGCGTATATTGAAGAAGTTGCATAGTTTATCGAGTGGATTGTATTATACATACATAAAGACAATTGAGGTACATACTGTTATGAACCAGAAGTTCATGGATTCAAAAGTTTACATGCTTTGGCATGACCGTCTGGGTCATCCAGGATCCACCATGATGTGTAGGATCATTACCAACTCTAATGGACATCCATTATTGAGCAGACACATTACTACCTCAAATGATATCCCTTGCAAGGCTTGTTCCCAAGGGAAGTTGGTAACTAGACCATCACAACTAAAGGTTGATGCTGAATCCCCATCAGTTTTGCAAAGAATTCAAGGGGATATCTATGGGCCTATTCAACCACCTTGTGGACCATTTCGATATTTTATGGTTTTGATTGATGCATCTACCCGATGGTCACATGTTTGCCTATTGTCTACCCGAAATGTAGCTTTTGCGAGACTTCTTGCTCAAATAATTAAGTTGCGAGCACAATTTCCAGATCATCCTATTAAGTCAATCTGACTTGATAACGCTGGTGAATTTACGTCTCAAACCTTTGATGATTACTATATGACACTGGGCATTGATGTTGAACACCATGTTCCTTATGTCCATACTCAAAATGGCTTAGCAGAGGCATTTATCAAGCAGCTTCAATTAATAGCTCGTACTCTGCTCATGAAAACGAAATTACAAGTCTTTGCATGAGGATATGCCATCTTACATGCTGCATCATTGGTTAGATTGAGACCCATAGCCAACCACCAATACTCATCAACATAACTCATGTTTGGATATCAGCCAAACATTTCACATTTACAAGTTTTTGGTTGTGTTGTTTATGTGCCTGTTGCACCGCCACAACGTACTAAAATAGGACCTTAGCGTAAACTGGGAATTTATGTGGGTTTTGATTCACCATCTATCATTAGATATTTGGAACCCTTGATATGTGATATGTTTACAGCTCATTTTGCTGATTATCATTTTGATGAGACAATCTTCCCGTCGTTAGGGGGAGAAAAAACCGTTCCAGAAGAACGGCAAGAGCTGACATAGGTTGTTCCCACCTTGTCTCATCTTGATCCGCAAAGCATTCAATGTGAAAATGAAGTGAAAATGATCGTTCATCTTCAAAGTATTGCTAATCAAATGCCAAATGCATTTAATGATGCTTCGAAAGTGACAAAGTCACATATATCAGCTGCAATTGCACCTGCAAGAATTGATGTCCCTGTTGGACAAAATAAAGTGGCAGCGAATGATTCATCTAGTACACGCCTAAAGCGTGGTAGACCCCTAGGTTCAAAAGATTCAGCCCCTCGAAAAAGAAAGATGAGGGCACAGTTGAACCCAAATGAAATCATTCAGGAAAAAAAAAATGAATGATAAATCCACAATTCATAATTCTGTACTTCCAGAAAAAGAAAATGTCCTTGATGAGACATCTATCCCTGAAGAGACAGAAGTACATGAAAGCAAAGAAATATCCATAAATTATGCATGTACTAATGAATTGTGGGATCGAAATGAAATAATCATCGACGACATGTTTGCATTTGCAATAGCCACCGAAATTATATTAAGCGATGACATTGAGCCGTGCTCTGTTGAAGAATGCAAACAGAGACAAGATTGGCCTAAGTGGAAAGATGCAATCCAAGCATAATTAAATTCCTTGGAAAGGCGAAGTGTTTTTGGATCGGTAGTCCAAACCCCGCCTGGTGTAAACCCTGTGGGTTACAAATAGGTATTCACAAGGAAATGCAACAAGAAAAACGAGATTGCAAGATATAAAGCACGACTCGTTGCACCAGGTTTTTCACAAAGACCTAGAATTGATTATGAAGATACATACTCTCTTGTAATGGACGCAATTACGTTCCGTTACTTAATAAGTTTGGTGGTTTCAGAAAAACTTGACATGCGACTTATGGATGTCATCACCGCGTATCTATATGGAGAATTATATACTGACATATATATGAAAGTCCCAGAAGACTTAAGTTGCCTGAAGCAACTAACAAACCACGAGGTATGTTTTCAATCAAATTAAGGTGATCATTATATGGGCTAAAACAATTTGATTAAAAAAGGATATACCAACGATGTCATCTACCCTTGTGTGTTCATTAAGAAATCAAATACTGGATTTACTATAGTGATAGTATATGTCGATGATATGAAACTCGTTGGAACCCCTGAATAGCTCAATAAAACTGTTGAATATCTGAAAAGTGAATTTGAAATGAAAGACCTTGGGAAAACGAAATATTGTCTCGGCCTGTAGATCGAGCATTGTGTTAATGGAATTTTGGTCCATCAATCAGCTTACATTGAAAAAATACTGAAACAATTTGGCATGGACAAGGCTTATCCACTTAGCACCCCATGGTCATTCCTTTTTTGGACATTGAGAAAGATCCATTCCGTCCAAAGGAAGATGATGAACTGGTCCTTGGTCCAGAAGTACTATATTTGAGTGGAATAGGTGCTTTATTATATTTTGCACAATGTACTAGACCAGATATAGCTTTTTAAGTCAACTTGTTAGCAAGGTATAGCTCTGCTCCAACAATTCGTCATTGGAAGGGAATCAAAGGTGTATTGCCAAACCTTCGTGGAACAACAGACATGAGTCTCTTCTACTCAGAGAAATCCACAAATGACTAGATTCTTGTTGGGTATGCAGATGCTGGTTTCCTCTCTGATCCACTCAAAGCCCACTTACAAAATGGATATGTGTTCACTAATGGAGATACTGCAATTTCATGGTGATCAACAAAACAAACATTAGTTGCTACATCTTCCAATCACTCGGAAATAATTGCTTTACATGAAGTAAGTCGTGAATGTTCTTGGTTAAGATCAATGATCCATCACATCCGGAATTCATTTGGTCTACCTTTAAAGACAGACAATCCAACTATCATCCATGAAGATAATGCAGCTTGTGTTGCCTAAATGAAGGAAGGATTCATCAAGGGCAATAAAACTAAACATATATCTCCAAGATTTTTCGGTGCACATGAGCTTCAGAAGGCCAAAGTGATTGAGGTTAGACAAATCCGTTCCAATGTAAATTTGGTAGACTTGTTCACCAAATCTCTACCAAAGTGCACATTTCAGAAGTTAGTGCAGGGAATCGGATTACGTCGGCTTACAAATTTGAAGAATGCGGAATCAGGGGGAGATACAATTCAGGGGGAGCATCCATAATACATGCATGTTGTACTCTTTTTCCTTCGATTAGGATTTTTCCCATTGGATTTTTCCTATCAAGGTTTTAACGAGGCAACATAAGCATGCTCAACATCATATTAACAAACCTGGTAAAGTTGTACTCTTTTTCCTTCGCTATGGTTTTTTCCCACTGGGTTTTTCCAAACAAGGTTTTAATGAGGCAACTGATGTTGATATGTGGGCGTCCAAGGGGGAGTGCTTTAAATAGTGGGTATGTTTGCCTTCATGTATACAATAAAGATTCATATGCTAAATAGTGAAGTTTTTGTAAGTTTTCAAAGTAGTTGCTTTATAAATAGAGCACTACGAGTGTTCAAAATAGATGATACAAAAGTGATAGGAGCATATTTATGCTACTTAGTTATGTTGTTTCCTTGCATTTAGTTAGTTAATTACTACTTATTATAGTCTTTTAAGCTATTTTCGTATGTTTATAGGTCCTAATGGCAAAAGGAGCAAGAAAGTGCATTTTGAAGCTATTTGGAGCAGTTTTGGGCATGGATTGGATATCTTAACTATGGAGCAAAGTGGATGGACGAAATTGAAGTCAAGAGAGGCTAGGAAAGGCTACAAATTTGGAGAAAGAAGTTCAAATGCAAAGAAGATAAGGAAATAGCAAGAAATAAGGAACCTTATCCAACCTTATCTTACCTTATCTTAACCAACCTTATCCAAATCAGTTTGTGCCATAATTCTAGCTATTTAAAAGAGATTAGATGTATATTTAAACACATAGAACAGATTCTAGAAGCCTTATTCCTTTGTATGCCGCATAGACACCATTCCTTCAAAGTTTAGGAGTTGTAGTTCATATCCTACACCTATGCCATGTGTTCTTGTCCCTTTAAGTCCAGGAATCTGCCCTAAATACTCTTTCTAGAACACCCTATCTATTCCTACAAAGGTGCCGTACCCCTTATACCTTCTAGAAGTCCAATTTCTGCCACAAAACATATTGTTTCTAGAATCCCTACAAAAGTGGCGCCTCTCCCTCTTCTAGAAGCTCTAGAATCTGCAATCGTTTTCCCACTCTTCCTTGGTCTTTGTCGTGGAATCCTAGTCCTTTTTCCCTAGGATTGTGTAAACCTTTTCCCACCTAATTTCTATCACACCCTAATCTGATTTCCCTAGGGTTTAAGCTCTATAAATACAACCCTATGCCGCACCATTCAATTCATCCATTCACTCATTCATTCATTCAAAATTTCAGCCATCAAACACCATAATACACACCACATCACCCTAGTGCCGCAAGGAAGGAAGGAAGGAGAAGAAGACTTGTGCAATCTGCCATCCAAGGAGTGCTGTGCATGCCATTGGAGTGTGGAGTGTTTCTAGGTGTATTCTATCCTTAGTTTTTAGTTCAATGTTTATATTAATTTGGTTTTCAATTATGATGAACATGTGGAACTAATTTCTTTTTAGTTGGAGGTGAATTTGAAGCCATGATTATATGTTTTATATGAATTGATTATATCCAGTTATTGTTTCTTGAGTCTTGAATGTGATTTGCTTATCTAAGTTATCAAAACTTGTTTATGTATGTTGGTTGAGGGTGCACACTTAATTTGCATGCATGAATTTGATATATTCACAAGTAGTGGAGGTTGCTAGTTACAATCGTGTTAAGTAAATCCTTGGTATGAGTCTCATGCGTTTCATAGCGATGATTGCCTTGTCAATGCTTATAATTTTCATAAAACTTAATGACTTTTGATATGTATCTTTATCATGCGTTTCATATATGGAACTTGAGAAAGATAATTTGGTTGCGATGCGTATTCCATCTAATTCAATGAAATAAGGAAAATCTGATGGTTGATTGTGCGATGCAATTAACTTGGGGTGTTGTCATTCATAGTCTAAAGGAATAATAACTGGAAATTGGTTTATATGCATATGTCATGTGTGGAGAAGGACCCTCTAACTAGCCTTTCATCCATTTAATTCACCCAAATTCGTTTTTACAAAGTGTTTTATGCAAAGTTTCTATTTTAAGTTTTAAATTCGTCAAAAACAATCCCCCTTTCATTTAGTCTTGTTATTTGAGTCAAAATCTGTTTTCTTTTAGTCTTTTGAGTTAAGTTAAGTTGTATTTTCGTCAAAATCACTTGTTAGGTCTAGAATTGAGTCTTTTTGAGTGTTTGTTGCTGTTTTAAGTGTTTTAAGTTAGATTTGAGCCTATAGAGTCTAAATTAGTGTTTTTAAGTCTTAATTGTGTTGATTAGCATCCCTAGTTAATCCCCGATCTAGAACGATCCCTACTTGCACATATACTACAATTGTCACAAATAGGGTTTAATTTGTGTGTCAAGTTAATTTTCACATCAAAAAGCAATAAGAAAAGAAAGATAAGTTAGAATATTTTTAGTATCCTCTTTTTTCTCTCTAATCTGCAATCATTTTGTGTAATATTTTGCAACAGCCTCGCTCCTATCCCTATCAAAGGTTATTTCTTTAACTTTTGCCTATTTATAACATCAATTCTAATATATACAATTTATGAAACAATATAACATCACATGACGATGTTGAGACTACACACTAAAAAGCCTTTCTTTTCCTCAGAAGTCAGGAGTAGATTCACAATGTGTCCCATTCAGAAGAGTAGATTAACCATGTCCTACCGGTTGTAAAACTTTTTCATATAACGTGATTGATAAATTTTTCTCACTCTACGTCGTGTTACTATTCTATTCATGTTGTAACACTTTAAGTTTATTTATTAACTTTATAAGTTGGGTCCATCAAATCTCCATCATATTATCGATATTATAGTATGTGTATTAGTAAAGCTAGTTAGCAGTGAGACTACCATAGAAAAAAATTTCTCGAGCAAGCAAAGGTTATGGAATAAAATGTATACAACAATCGAAATTAAAAAAAGTGTAGTATGAGACCAAATCAAACCAAACTGAATGAAACCAACAAATAACTAATTTTATAACCATTACTATTATGTTTAATCATTACAAAATATTTTCTTGTGAGTTATATTTTGGCATTAGACATTTTGTTGTGAGTTATAACCATTACTATTATGTTTAATCACACGCGTTAGTATCAACCTTTAATATATTAGAAAACTAATGAAAAAAATTTCAAAATTTTAAATTTTAACCAAAAACCAAGTAATGATTTTATTTAATGGTTAGACAAAACCCAATACCAAACCAACCCACCCAATAAAGCTGCCCAAGCAAAAAAAATTATTGAGCTTTCGAATTTTCCCTTAATGTCTAAGTCTTGCCCGTTTATTTGGTCTGTTTCCTTTGTATCTTCTTCTCTGTCAAACTCTGGAAATGGCGGAACAATATCTTCTTCTCCATCCAAATATCAAACCCTACCTCAATCATCTTTCAACCACCCAGAGCCACCAAGATGCTCAAACCGCAAACAAACCTTCACCAAATTTGCAAACCCCCTCCCCACAAACTTAAGTTGGAGCATCTCTATCCCTTTCTTTGATATCGCAAAGGTAAGCATTTGCCATCCTTCATCTCTGATTTTATTGTTCAAAGAATTGGAATGAAAAGCTCAATATATTACTCATACATGTTTTTGCTGTGTGGAACTTTGATTTTAGGCTATGGCTTTAGATTGGATGAATAAACAAATGGCGGAGATCTCGAGGTTTGCGGATTCATGAATGATAAGGTAAAAAGAAAAATACCATCCATTCCTTCTTTTGTCGGCGCTGTAGCTTCAGATTTACTTATGACTTTGTCATGTAATCTCTGTGATGTTTGTGGCTGAGAGAATAAATGCAAAGTTATCAGTGCTTCCATGATGTAAATTCATCCTTGCTTATAATGAATCTGTTTGTGGTCTCCATATTTGTGCATCCATGTATTTTATTTATTTTTTTTAATAAATGGGGGATTGTATTTTTTATTTTTTATGAATTGGGAGTGTATGATTTCTCTTTTCCTCTTACGATGATTTATGGTGTGATGACTTGATGGGTCTACCAAATCCAATCAAAACTTGAGCGATGATTTTCAAAAACAATAAATAAAAAATACAATACTCTCTATGATTTCTTTTTACAAGGTGAGATGTTAGTTTTTATCTCAAATTTCAGTCCATTGAAGTTGAAATTGATTGCAAAGTTGTCAAATGCATATTTCAGGCTGTTTGACTCCAACATGCTCATCAGCAACACTACGACAGTGATATGCTTAGATGATTAGCATTCCCCAGACGTGACATGGAGGAAGAAGAAAGGAGTGACAATGCTTGACCCAAGAGCTAACGACTTCGATCTTATGTATAAGCAGATGAAGGCAATCAAGGAAGGGAAGGCTGTTGAGAACCCTATTTACAAGAATGTTTCTGGTCGCTTGGATCCTCCTGAGCTCATCAAGTTCCCCCAAGATTCTTGTCATTGAAGGTTTACATCCAATGTAAGTGCATGTTTACTTAATTACTCATCTTAATCACTTTCATTAACTAATTAATCACTGCTTTATTATTTTTCATCACAACACATTCATGAAATCGTGGACTTGTTCTTAATTAGAATCTTTCTTCTAAAGTGATATTTTTACCCTTAATTCATCTAAACCGATTTGTTAAAATTGCACTTATTATTATTTTTTAGATGAGAATATCCATGCAATTTAGCGAGAGTATAACAAATCTTCTTTTATTTTTTGGATGAGGTACTCATTAATTGATAAATCCACATATCCTAACCTAGTGTTCTTTGTTCAATTCTTAATTGTTTTTATGTATCAGCTGCATGCTGCAATCATTGAACTGGATACCAAGATCAAGAATGATAACTCATTAACCAAAAAATGATGAAGATTATAACTCTAGTTGGCCACTTGCGTTGCATATAATCCCTTTAAAGATGTAGTACGTACATTTATGTACTAAACCGAAATCAACTGGATGCAAACCATGTTTCGGTGCCTCTTTTTTGACTTCTTAGTGTCTCTTGGGTTATGATTTTGATAAAGACTCTGTAAGTTTACATTCATTATGTTGTTCGTAATCATAGGTATACTAGGCTAAATTGGTAGGTTCTTAATGTTCTGGATGTGAAAATTTTTGTTTCTGGGTATTTGAAGTTTTTCATTCCAGTCGGGCGTTATGAGAGCAAAAAAGAAGTTGCCTAAGAGAGAGGAGGTTCTTCGGCGTATCAAGCAGGTGCCTTTTTTGAAGGGATGAGAAGCATGTATATATATAATAACATATGCAAATAAAATTGCAATTTGAACTGCTAAGGTTTAGCCTTCAATCAAAATTACAGATGTGGTGCATCCAAGTTTCAGAAATAGTGTTTTCAGTTTCATAAATAGTCAGTTTTAGAAATAGCGTATCCATTTTTAGTTTCATAAATAGTTAGTTTTCAGAAATAGCGTACTCATTTTCAGTTTCATAAATAGTATACTTGTGTTGAGTTTCATAAATAGTCAGTTTTATAAATAGTGTACCTGTGTTGAGTTTCATAGATAGTCAATTTCAGAAATAGCGTATCCGTGTTGAGTTTCAGATATAGTTAGTTCCAGAAATAGTTTAGTACCCATGTTTAGTTTTAGAAATAGTTATAGCACCAATGTTTAGTTTGAGAAATAGTGTATCCGTGTTGAGTTTCAGAAATAGTTAGTTCCAGAAATAGTTTAGTACCCATGTTTAGTTTTAGAAATAGTTATAGCACCAATGTTCAGTTTGAGAAATAGTTAGTTCCAGGAATAATGATAGTACCTGTGTTCAGTTTCAGAAATAGTTATGTTCAGTTTAAGACATAGTAATAGTACCAATGCTTATTTAAGAAATAATGATAGTACCTGTGTTCAGTTTCAGAAATAATCAATGTTTAGTTTTAGAAATAGTATAGTATCTGTGTTCAGTTTCAGAAATAGCTAATTTAAGTAATAATGAGGGTGGGAGAGAGGGTGTGCTTATGGTTAAGAAATATTCAGTGTTTAGTTTATAAATAGTCTATCTGTGAAATTTATATTAATCTTACTTTGATTCTATAAATATTTCAACAAGCATTTCAACACGATTTTGTTTTTGAATCTTCCTCATCTAAATCCTTCTCAATTCAATTTCTCTAATTTGGTTTACTAGTTTATAAATTAGTAAATAAGCAATTATTCTTTTTCATTTTAGTTCCTTAAATTTCATTTACAAATTTTTATGCACGCCATAAATGTAGTTGAAGCTCCTAAGCCCCATCACCCAAAAATAAAAGACATAACCTAACCCAATTTCCCTATCGAGATTTAATCAATTTAATTTTAATTATATATGATTGTCACTTAGTATTACGGTCTAGTAATATTCCTCTTCATTTGTAAGTGAGAGGTCTTAGGTTCAATTCTCACCAAAAACGAATTTGAACCATATTATTGCTAGACCATTGTGAAGCTTAGCCTTCCCCCCCACCCCTTTAGTGTAAAAATATTGTTTGTTTAAAAAGAATAATAATTATATATGATTAATGTTCTGCAAGTAAAAGAGTATATGGCTATGGGAAATAAATGAGGAATATGTTGAGTGGATTCTAAATTTACTTACTAGAAGATAGCATATAGATGGGAAGGAAGGAAGAACTTCTCACATCACATGCATTCAAACCCAAAACAGACCTTAAGGGGAGGAGATGCAAAGGGAAGCAATTTGTGCCGTGCTAAAAAGTACCTGACAAACCTCTTGCTATACGCCATGCACTTTTCTCTATCGGTGTCAATTTTATTTTCGAGTTTTGTCAGAAATTGGGTGAAATGAAAGAATGTTTGAGTAAGAGAAATGAGTGAAGTTGCTGCCATTGGTTTCTATGGTGTTTGAAACTGAACCAAAATAAACTACGTTATTTATGAAACTGAACTAAAATAGTCTACACGATTTCTAAAAAGGGAAGAAAACACGTAGTTAATGAACCAATTTTTCATATAGAAGTAGTGCAAAAACACATTATTTCTAGAAATGAACTATTTCTTTATTATGAATTTCCAATTTTAACCTTGACGACAAGCCTTTGACCGTTTAATCTCTGCTATGCTCTCTCCCCCGTTTCTTCATGACACGACAACAATCTCCTTTCAAAGGAGAGGAGAGGAGAGGAGAGGATAGGAGAAGAGAGATAGTTGTCTTGTCAACGAACATTCGAATATTGTTATCACTGTTACCTCGGATCCATGCCGGCCCAAAATGAATTGTGGGACCACCACAAAATCATAAAAAAAAAAGTAGAAAACAAATGTTTGATTTTGACCAATAACACAAATTTCTTGGCGAAACCAAACCCAATTACCATATTTATGATCAAGTTATTGTGATACTTGTTGAAAAATTAAAGAGTGTTACTTAATTCAAACCAATAATTAAGAATTATAACCTTAAAAGCACTTTAACAAGAAAAAGAAAAAAAGAAAAAAAAAAACTGTACAGGTGGCGATCAATCCCAAAAAAAAAAAACACATAAACAAGAGGCTAAGGATATGTTTGGCTTTTGAAGCAACCGAGGAAACTGGAACAAGAAGGAAAAAGAGAAACGGTGACAAGGGAACTAGAAGGCTAATGGGATTGGTTGGGTTCTGTCAGGGGCAGTTTTGGAAAAAACATTTACTTTCGATTGGGCTTTAATTCAAGAGTGTTAATAAGCTCACCTCATTGTTCTATTTTCTCACCTATATTTTAATAAAAATCTCAAAAGTATTAATAACATGTTTATAATTTTAGAAAAAGACTTTTAAACCCCTACCCCAATTCTCCCCCATCGTCTCTCTTCGTCCCCGTTTCTCTGTTCCGTTTCATCTCTCTCTTCTTGGCTTTTGCACTGACTACCACGGCCGAAAGCATGTAGGATCAGGAGAAGCACGACAAAGTTGTGGTGGTGGAGTATGAGCAAGAGGAGTGCTCCTCTCCTCTGGAGTAAGTCACTTCTTGTTTGGGGCTTAAATTTCAATTTCCATTGAATTTGAATGGTTGTGGAGATTGAGAGTGTCGTCACAGGGGTATTTAACTTTTTAATTTGTTTTTTTTTATTTTATTTTTTTATTTTTTTGTATTCCCCGAAATTCATTGCTTGATAGTTGCTACAAGTGCAAGTGACTTGTTGCAGTAGTAACTTTTGATTTATTTCTCATAAAGTAGATCTAACACATTCTTGAATAATCATCAATGAATGTGAGGAAATACCTGTTTCCACTCATGGTTGGAACCTGCATAGGTCCACAAACATTAGAATGCACCAATTCGAGTCGTTCTTGTACTCTCTAAGTAGTCCCCTTAGGAAATGACTCCCGGTGATGCTTCCCAAATACACACCCTTAGCACACATCCTCACTATCTTGGATCTTAGGCAACCCCAACACCATTCTTTGATTCTGCAATAGCTTAAGACTCCTGAAATTTAAGTGACCAAATCTCTTATGCCACATCTTTGCACATTCTTGCACACTTGTACTCAATGCAAGCTTCTTATTTGTACCAAAGATCAAAGAAAAACCTCTATTTCCATTCTGTTTCACACTAACCACCAGATTACTTAGAGACTTGCCATCAAACACATCCAATCTATAGTCTCTAAACAGAAGAAAATAACCATGCTCAGTCATCTGGCCTACACTAAGCAAGTTCTCTGTGAGATCAGGTATAAACATCATTTCCCTTATATATCTCATGCCCTTCATTGTCTCAATAATCAGTGTTCCCTTTCCTGAGCATCAACCAAAACTCCAATGCCTACTTGGACTTTGGCTTTCACATTTATATCAATATCAACTTACTACATCCACTATCTATGTACCACACATCATTTACCTTCTTCACTTCACTAAAGTGACTAGCATAAAACAGATTACCAGTTTCTTCTACCAAATGAGCAAAATTTACTTGTTGCACAACCTTGTTCGTATTGCAGTACCTTGCAATATGACCAATTTTGTTGCACTTGTGACACTTGACTTTGTTCTTAACCCAGCATTCCCCATAATGAAGTCTATCACAGAATTTACACTTATCCCCAATATTGTTTGCATCATTTTTCATAGGAACAACAACCTTATTACTCCAATTAGCCTTATTACTCCACTGTTTTCCTTTGACTTAAAATTCTTCTGATATTTACCATTGTTAGCTTGACCATTAAACCTATTTGGTCTAGATGCAATGTTCAAGCTAGTAAATGCCCTCTCTGTGCTACTCTCTCCATGCCTATCAATTCTTTGCTCATAACCTTTTAGAATAGCAACCACATCCTAAGCATCTATGGTATCCAGATCCTTAGTATTTTCTATCATAGATGCAATACTATCATAAGATTTAGGCAAACTAATTAACAGTTTCTGCACTATTCTTTGATTACTTAGATCTTCACCATAGCTTCTCATTTGGTTAATCAGATCAAACAATTTAGCAATATACATAGAGAGTGATTCATCTTCATTTATACGAGTATACTCAAAATCTCGCCTAGGACCTTGAAGTTTCACAGATCTTACTTGTTTATCGCCAACAAATTCTTATTTCAGAATATCGTAGGAGCCTTTGTACTTTCTTGAGTTGCGATCCTCGGAAAAATTTAATCTAAAACAGCACCTTGAATGATTCCAAGTGCTCTAGCATCCTTGACTACATTTTCTCGCAACAGCTTATTCTTCTCTATGTGCTCCTTCTTATTCTTCATCAAAGTATCAAAATCCTTTTCAACTAGATTCCACAATTTGTGTGAACGGAAAATAGTTTTCATTTTGATTTGCTAGAAATCAAAATTCTCGCCATTGAAGATTAACGCTCTGAGTTCTCCTCCTCCAGATCCAGCCATGTTAGATTATATCACATATACAAACTCAAATCACTACAATGAGCTTTTGTTGTGAATCCAAGCTTGATCCTCCACAAATACGACGCCCAGAAATTCAAACTCAACCTGAGCATATGAGCTCATACAAGACATATAACCGTTAGAGAGAAGAGAAAGAGTGGTATACTTAAGTTTCAATCTCAGCCATTCATCATATAGTACACTGAGATTAGAACACTTGTCACTCATCAAGCCTTATGAGACTTAACTAGCTAATTACATTTTAATCAGATAAGCTCAACCAATGAGCTGAAGCATTACACTAATAAAAAAAAATGTAATCTTCTCCACATCAGTTCATCAATTTACACATGAACATGAAAATGAATCATAAGAACAGGTGGGATCAATGGTCCTATTCAACCTACCACTAGAACAAGGATAGAGATTTGCTTGAGATCTTTGGGTCCATGAAGCCATTAATGACCTTTCTAACTTGAAAATATACGGGTCCATCTCGCAACTACATTTT